ATTTGGTGAATCACATGGTGCTACAAAGGGTTGCGCTCATTAAGGTTTATTGGTTGTTTTTCCAAAATTCATGCGCAACGGGTGTGCTGGGAGAATGTTTACCCCTAAAAACTGATTAGGTTTTGATCTGGCTCAATAAATCTGGCCCCCTGAATAATAGATCTTCTGAGAGGGGGTGGCAATTTCTAATGTGATGATCATGATGTGATGATGTGATGGTGGTGGTGATGGTGATGATGATCATCATGATCATCATGATCATCATGATCATCATGATCATCATGATCATCATGATCATCATGATCATCATGATCATCATGATCATCATGATCATCATGATCATCATGATCATCATGGTCATCATGGTCATGATGAGCATGATCATGACGATTGTGTGGAGCAACGTCCGGGTTGGGGCGAACATGTTTAAACGTTACTAGTATCCTTCAACATGCTCAAACACCTGCGCAGGGCCAGTGTTTTGAGATTTCCCAGATGACGAACCCTAAACCCTAAAACCCTAAACCCTCCCAAACCCGAAAACCCCAAACCCTAAAACCCCAAACCCTAAAACCCTAAACCCTAAAACCTAGGCTCTGAAAACTTTGAATCCTAAACTGGAAAACACTGTGTATACGCAGTATTTTCTGCAATCTCTCCTATCATATATTCGACAGCACGACATTCTCAATGTTAACGTCTGGGCAACACACGGCGTCTGTGGGTATTTCTAGATTTATGTATAGATATGTACATATATGTATTAAATATATATGTATTAGTATGTTATATAGAATAATTTAATATGTATATACCAATTTTATATATACTGTATATATTATATAGATATAAAAGGTGTGTATAAAACTATATTATGTTTATTATATGCATAATATGTATCTATGCATATTTTATGTATAATACGTAATTGTACGTGTATATATATATATACATATATATGGGAAGGTATATAGTTCGTCACGCAATATAAACTCCTCTGAATGGAATGCAGGTGACTGCACCTCTCCCCTTTGCATCTCATTGCTCCTCCCTGAGCTTGAACCTCCAAAGATGCTGCCTCTGTTTTTCTCAAAACCACCGCTAGAGTACTCACTGCTAACACAGTGGCAGGGCCTGCAGTTTTCCAATTCTCAAGGATTCTTGACAGACCACTGGATCCGTGGTCCAAATCAAAATCAAATGGAGGACCTGCACATGGGAATCCAATGTTTGGCAATCCTAGTCCTGTCAAACATGCTGTATCAAAACCATCCAAAATGACCAGGCAAACCATGAGTTCCTAACAGGGATCAAAGACCGTCAGTGGGTCTCTCAAACAAAATGAAAGACGCCCTGGGGTAAACCAACAAATTGATGTGGAAAACCCATGGTTTCCCCAAGAAATGATCTGTGTCTGTGGTATGTTAGCCTTGATTCTATGTTTTTGTAGGGTAAATCCTTTCTATAGTTACCATGGCTGATCTTTTATTTCTATATAAATATCCGATACAGTCGAGGAAAAAAGCTTGGTTCTCAAAAATGAACGGGTCTCCGCCTGGAATGGATCATACATACCCTTTGGTAAACATACAAAAACATATGAAAAATATGGGGAATCCCTAGGAAATGATCCATAGATGATGGGTTTTCCAGATCTTTGATGCTTAATTTTCGAGCTCTACTCGCTTGGGTTTCTCCAAAAGCCTCAGCGTTTCCAGGGCTTTGTGGAAGAGGAACATGTCCCTGGGCGGGATGCTGGTGGGAAATCTCAGGACAGGTTGGATTCAGCTAGAAAAGGGTCGTGAGATGTCGTGAGTTTACATCAGCCACCAAGGGCTGGGAGTTCGCAACCAAGCACTGCAAATATGGTATGGATTCTTGCAAAAGTGACCCCACGATTCCACAATGATCCAACTTCGGGACGGCAACCCCCTTTGTCTTGCAGCTCGAAGCATCTCGAAGCGGGTAAAACTGCCTGTGTTTCTGGGACGCCTTGATACCAACACATCTCGGCCGAGTGGCTCACAAATATTCATCACTGAGTTGTACATGACGAAATCGGGCTGCACCCCTGACCTGGCTGCCAGGCCAGGCTAGCGGCTAGCCAGACTTTGTCTGCCGGTGCCGGAGAATGCAGATTTTCACCATTGAACAATTGCCACTTGGGGGCGAATTGTACACATTTAATTTACATATATGATATATATATACATATGATAGATTTTTTTTCTCTATATGGTATACAATGAGATATAATGTGAAAACTCCATCAACAAACATCAACCAGCCCGAATGAATTACCACAAAACGGCTGGGATTTGAATCATCCCCAACTCTGAACCTTGGACCGGCTACTGAATGTCCACATGGCAAAAATGAGCAAAAATGGGCTACACGTTTGAACATATCAGCAACACGTCAAATATATGAAACTGTGGTGTATACGTGGGTTGAATGCCTTTGTGACTTTATTTTTGGAAGTTTTGGATTTACCTTTAGATGCAACCAACATTTACACTCTGGTAATCAAACATGGGAATGGGAAAATTTGCTGGAAATTGAGGTTTCACTGGGAAATACTGGAAATATCATCCGAACATGGCGAATTATCCATTGCCATGTTTGATTGACGGAGGGTAAACATGATTAATTAAAACCCTCTGCTGTCGATAACTTTGACACCATCTACGACAGCCGGCCACCTCTTAGCTGAAGCCATGATCACCTCAGACTAATCATAGGATGTAGCTAGAGGAAGCATGGATGATGAGGGAATAATGGGAATACATGTTGAGCTTTCCCGGCATTTCCATCATTTCCAGCACTCCCAGCATCTTGGATTGTCTTCGATATGCTTCTTGTTACCACGTTCTTCTTCTTCCAGTAATTATAGAATGTGCGCTGTGTTCTTGCTGTAAAGACCGGTTGATGACCAATTTCGCTGCACTTCAGCTAGAAAGAGATGGACAAAGTTTGGCTTCTCTAGCCCCACTATAGGCTATATATATATACACGCGTACATACATGTGATTCTCTAAATCGCAGTCATGGGACAAATGACTCCAGTCAGAAATCATAAGAATCAACAAACATATCATCGTATTTGGTGATTCTGACCATACCGATCATTGTATGTATTTTTGGAAAATCCATGAATAGTGACAGTGTACTTTTGTATATTCAATCTGCCTGGCCAATTTTGGAGAACCCGTAGACATGTGCTTTGAGGATCATCATCCGACGAGGAAGGGATTGAGATAAACAATGATTTATATAGTCCAGGTGGTGAATTCTGAAATCAGCCATGTATTTCAGAGTCAAACACCCGTCTCTACATTTTCTATCATATGCATGGCTCGGCTAGAATACTCTTTGCCTTGAAATAAGTGAATCTTATTTGATCTAGCATGCAACTGGTGAAATGCCTGACTCCCCATTCTGGTAATTTGACATGCTATTGAACATCGCCATGATCTACGCATGTCGGCCATGTTCAGATGTTTCCTAAGTCATGGGAGTACCCCCAAATCATCCAACATTAGACCATGACTTAGTGTTGAAACCCATGGTTGTGGTACTAATATGTTATCCATTAAAAATTTCCTAATGGGTTTCCCCATTCAACATATATATTACCCGAATCTATTATTATTATTATATAGGTACTAGAATGGATCCCCCCATTTCAAGAAAACCCCATTTTATCCATGAAAAATCACGCAACCCCTGACGCCACGTGACGAAGACCTCGCGCCACTGCCGTGCCTTTTCGCACGCGCTGATCAGGGCCTCAGGGAAACTCATGTTGGGTTCACCACGTTAAACCATGACACAAGTTGGCTAGAGTTATAGTTGGTTTATAATGAGAACCATATATAGTTAATAAAAGTTAATAGGATCTAATAGGCTTCTGATAAAGTAGAGTTAATGGGGTTAACTTAGCTGGTTTATGATAATGACTCGTGTAACTAGGGTTTATGGTACTTAGAACTATAGTTGATGGGGTTTATAAACCAACTTAAAATTGACGCGGCACCACCTTGTATCCAACGATCTAATTGGTTGATTGCGGACAATATGCTAATCAATTGACTAAATGAAGTGGGATTGACTATCACTGGGATTGGTTGATTAACTTAGAGATTCTATTATATAGATATTGCTATTGCCGATCATCCCAACAACTCCGGAATATCAGCAAAGTATGTAGTGGAATGTGGATGGCTATTTTTTCGGTCGAGCATATGGGCTCCCGACGGACAAATTGTAAAAACTGAGACTGTACAAACCGACACCACACCCTTCCAATAAAAAGAACTCCTCAAATAAATTCACAATGCCGTCCACACCTGCACTTATGAAATTACCACGAGAGTACCTTGAGAGGCCAGTGGCCTGGGACTTGCCCCCTTTAGAAAGGGCCAATCCGTTGTGTAGCCCATTGTTTGACTCGATTCATGTGTTCAAGATCTGAAGGGTCAAAAAACTGATCGTGGCCATACATGTGCTGGAAGGCGTCTTTATATGTTTCAGTTAGCCAATCTAGTCTGGGTCTACCTGGCCGCCTTTTGTCTATCGAACGGGGACGAAGTCCATCTGCTGCAAACGTGACTTGGTTCAAAGGGTCAGCTCTGCTACTTCTAAGCATGTGCCCTAGAAGTTTCAATTTCTTTTTTCTCCAAGTGTCTCCGAAAGGTTCAAAATGGCACCCATGTTCCTGTCTGATCTCATCATACATCTTCAGGTTGGTCTGTTCCCGGTCTATGAAAGTAGGAGGTTTCTTGAGAATACGTCGTAATGTTTTGTTTTGAAAAGCATTGAGCTTAGAGATTTCATTTTGGGTCAGCTGTATACATTCTAAACCATATAGCAGTTTTGATCTTATGATAGCCGTGAACACTTGGATTTTCCATTTGATTGAAGTGTTAGCTTTATCCCAAAATAGCTTTAAGCGCCGACATGTAGCAATGCAATCCCCTATTCTGTTGAGAATCTCTGCTCTATTATCAAAGGAATCCGTCAAAAGGGTCCCTAGATACACTGCCGATTTCCTCCTTGGGACAAATGCCCCCTCTGCCGGTCCTTCTTGTGCAAAACGCACAGAGCTTTGTCGCTGGTTGGCGGTCAGATTGACGCATTTATCATAATTAAGATTAACGCCAAAATATTTAGAGCGGCGCTCGATGGCATGAAGGAAAGTGTTTATGCACTGTGTTGGCTCCAAAAATCAATGTATCGTCAGCATACAAAATTTTACTGAAGTAGACACCATCTAGCGGTTCAAGTTGTCTGGGCGTATAGATTTCTTCCATGACATCCGCAAAAAGGGCTCCCATAACCAAGGTGAATAAATAAGGGGAAAGCGGGCATCCTTGCCGAATTCCTGAGCACTGCGATCTCCACGTTGATTCTGCTTCTCCCACGCAAACTTTAAATTGGGGATCGTTATACAAACTCCCGATCAGATTGCAGAGTTTTTCGGGTACCTTCAAGCGATATAAAGTTTCTATTAGTTTATCTTGGGATACTCGGTCGAAAGCCTTTTCCCAGTCTAATAGAACAAGTGTACATCTGGCATTGGATTTTTCTGCTATGTCCTGGAGACGCCTGGCCAGGAAGATGGCCTGGGCTGTGCTTCTATGTTTCCTAAAGCCATACTGTGTGGAACAGATCCATGCATCTAGCCCAGAGTCTAGCCGTTCCTTGACCAAGGCCGCCATGATTTTGTAACAGCTGTTTAGCAAAGAAATGGGTCTGTAGTTAGCTAAAGACGAAGCATCGCCCTTTTTGTAAATACTAATAACGACAGCATTCATATGGTGTTGTTTCACCTCCTCATGTCTAAGACAAGTGTTAGCAACCTTAAGGAAAAGTTTCCGATTATTTTGGTCAAGCCATTTAAAAAGCTCTCCTGGAACACCATCTACTCCTGGAGTTTTGTTATTTTTAACCTTTTTTAGAACAGCATCTAACTCATCTATTGTGAAAGGGTCGTCAGACACGATGTACCTGCCGTCCTGCAAAGGGCTATCGATCCTTGAAGGTGCAACTGGGTCTTCTGCTGAAGGGCATTTCCATTGGGTTGTCGCCAAGTAGTCTGCAGCTTTCTGCGGGTAGTCACTGTATGGAACATGATTGCCAGCGGAATCTTTGAACTTAGTAAAATTAGGAGTGAATTTGGCTCTCATCTTTTTCAATCCATCCCATTTATAACATTTATAACCATCTTGATCAACCGCTTCTAATTCGTTCAGTAAGTGTTGCTCTTTGTCAAGTCGAACTCTCTTGGTTATATCCTTGCTCAGCGTTTCCGCCAAGGCCGAATCTTGGTTTGAAATGGCTTCCCATCGTTTTTCTAGAAGGTCCCATGTATCTTTCGAAATGTAATCCTTTTTCTGCTCTGGATGACATCTTGGGAGCGTGGCTTGCGAACTTTCAAGAAGAATTGAGTTCAGCAAATCAAAACTGTCAGTATTATCACATGATTGAAGATCATCAGCTTTTTGTGCCACACAAGCATTATAATTGGCTATTTCATCTCCCGGAGGTTTATGAAATTTAATCCGTGAAGTAGTTTTGACACGGCCTTTCTTCTTCAGTTTTAGACGGACGTTGGCAATCAACATCTTATGATCCGTGTCAATGTCATGCACCTCTGTGGCGAAAATATCTGTGATACCATTTTTCCATGGTTCATTAACGAGAATATAATCCATTTGGCTATATTGATGTGGATGCCATGGAGGGCTCCAGTCCTTAACCCCTACACTTCTGTATGTCACAAGTTCAGCTTCGGGTTTGCAGAAGAATGTGTTTTTCACCACAAATTGGTTTTCCAGACAAAACTCTACAAATTTGAAACGGTTTTCCAGCTGGGCATCACTAAGAAAATCAAGATCCTGTCGCTCGATCCCAAAAGTGTAAGGTCCTACGCAAGTCTCGTGTGGAAGGGCTTTAATCAATCTTGCATTGAAATCTCCAAGAACTAATTTAGGAGCGAAGGCATAGTTTATTGACACAAGTGATTCTAATTCAGCGTAATGCGCTTCTGCTGCTTGTGAGTCTCGGTGGCACGCCTGAGGCGCATAAGTAGATAAGATGTCCAGGACACCACATCTAGTTTTCAATGATACCATGATATTTCTAGCACTGTGCTGTCGAACATCTAAAACATATTTTCTGATACGTGGATGTAGAACAACGCCAACCCCAAGATGTTCAATAGCATTTCTGAAGGTTTGTCCATGTTCGGGGTTGTCCCTTGACCCCTTACCCGAGCGTTTGAGATCTATCGCTTTGTTGCGGTCTTCGTCTTTGATTCCGCTAGACCAATAAAAACTAAAACCATCATGCAGTTCCATGGAGTTAACATTAATTTTTGTTTCTTGCAAGCAAAGAATGTCTAAATGGTATTTCTTCATGGTGTGGACAAGTCTTTCCCGGCTAGAAGGTGATGCAAGACCTCTACAATTAAGACTTGCAATCTTGTAATCGGTGATCCCATGATCCTTAAAACTATTGTCCTGATAGTCAGAAAATCCTAATGAAAACTCTTCATGTGTAATAGTATGTGTGTGGGAATCAAAAGGTTTCGGTTTGAACCAATCAAGAAACTCAAGATTGTCCGTTGGATCTTGGACCTTGAACAGCGGCACCTGCCTGGCCAAAGCAAGGGCCTGTGTCTTTAAATGACGATAGGATATCCTATGCATGTTTCTGTTTCTAGCTCTGTTAACTCGACGTCTAAGTAAAGCAGTATTAGAACGGCATTTCCGTTTGGGGCCCATCTTCGTAGAATCAGTTGATTGCAGTTTTGGGTTCGACAGTTGGTTACCGCCGTCTGTTCGTTTAGAACGTTCAGTGCGGCTTTCCCGCATTGCCATGGGGGGGCCTGTGTGCGCTGCATTTGATTGGAAATTCGCCTCTAGAGGTTGTGACAAAGCTTGATTATGGAGCGATAAGTTGTTGTATGTTAGTTTGGCAATTCTGTGTTTGTTTTGTGTCTGGCTGCCTTTCTTCTGTTGCAAAGATTGAGAGTACCAAGAGATTACCTCGAGAGACCCGTAGGTCTTGTGGCCGTAGCCACTGTCACGTCTGAACCTTAAGTTGCTGGCATTGACCTTTTGTGATGTGGTTTCTTTCTGTGCGATACTTTGTGTGCCCGGCATTACCGTATGTTGTGGGTGGGTGTCGGGAAAAGCCTACGGCTAAGACACGGCGGGGTGAGACTTCACAGCTCCCGGTCAGAAGGTCTTGCTGCCATGTAGGGGCGGGTGGCATCTGCAACGGCTTCTTGCCAGAGTTCCCTCCAAACCTCCCAGTGCGAAACGGTGTCATCTACGATGCGCACGTCGATCATGAAGGGGTACCTTGCCGTACTCGAGTGGGATGTGTGCGTCAAAGGTAAGTGGAAAGGGTCCTTCTCGGTGCTGGCGGCGCTCTGTGCCATTGATTTTCCTTTGCCATTTCCTTTGCCTTTGCCATTCATGTACTCATCAAACTTTGGGAGAAAGAACCTCTGGAACGCATCAGGGTCGGGGATATTCTTTGTGGAGAGGTACACTGTGACTTTGCCCTTTTCCGGTGAGAAGTGCGCCCATAGGATGTATTCTGCGGAGTCCTTGTGTACCAAAGTGTGATCTCTCCAATTCTGCTTGAAGGGGATTTGCTGTTCCTGGGCGATGTTCATAGCTACCTTGAGTGGGATTCCCGTAGTACGGTCCCATAATGAGATCTGCGGTTGAATCTTGATTGTGTTGCCTGTGTTTTGCTGCCCGTTGCCGAAGGCTTTGGTGAGCTTTTCCCATTGCGTTTCTTCCTCATCTTTGAGGTAGAACTTCTCTTTCAGGCCGTCGCTCTTCTTCACGTAGTCTAGTAACTTGGATCTTTGCCATGGTTGTGTGACTGTGACAATTGTGATTGCGGAGAGCGTGTCTCCTCTGGTTTGATGGCTGTAAGTCCAGTCACGGTAGTAGTTGCTGGTGATTCCTGCCCTCTTTGCTGTTTCTTTGATGTATCTCTCCCTTGAGTCTGTCTGATTTTCCATGAGGAGCCCTTGTAGTTCAAGATCGGCATGAGAAGGGGGTGTGAATGTTGTCCATCCTCCAAAGATTATTTCTTTCTTTGCTTTATCTCTCTGTGCATCTGCATGTTGCGCTAGCAGGAAGGCTGCCTGCACCTTGGTCGCTGATGCCTGTTCTTGGATTTCCCGGATAGTTCGCAACAGGATCTCTTCATCCATCATCGATTCATCTTCATGTTCTTTCTTTTCTTTCTCGAATTTCAATTTTCTCGAAGCTGGTTCCGGGGTGTCTCCTGTTGCCTGATGCTTTGCCTTTGACGCCATTGCTGTGGTGCGGCGAAAATTTATCTGTGCTAGCTGCTACGCAGCGTTGAACCCGAAATGCTGAATATCATTGATCATTTGGTTTCTGATGGCCTGTAATTTTGAATGGGGATGTCATGGCGTTGCCCTCTTTGTTGATATACCCAGATAACTGATAATCCACAAAATGAATCGGGGTGACTTATCAAATTGATGAAATATATAGCTATACCACAAAAGTATACCAAAGTCGGATGTACATGGACAAGCGTTTCCAACCATTGACAGCAAATCAACTGTAACCAATCGGCGGATCATGGAAGCTTCAGGAACAACGGGACATCGCTCGTTTTTATGATACTTTCCTGACATCTCATTGGCGAAATCTTAAATCATTAAGTGAAGTTGGAGCGCATACTTTGCACAGGACCACATAACAACAAAGATAGAAAACAAAAACACAATAAATCCACCATAGATTCAACACTTCTTCGATTTTTTAACATCAGAAACCTATCGCAAATCAAAATGAAACAATGGGTTTGTCAATGTGGTGCCCCCTAGAATCCCATTGTTTATCCGTTTATCATCATTTCCTATTCAAATATATTAAAATCATTTAAAATTGCCATTCACTGGAGGGTGAATCCACCTTTTTTATGATGATACTACGCCCCCATCTTCCCAGCGTCATCTGACGAATCTTAGGATCTCACTCCTGCTATACTGCCGGGATGCAAGAAAATAGGGCCCAACTCAGGGTGATTTCATGGCTATTTATCCCAACTAATCTGCGTGTCAAAGGAATTGAGATCATATCAAGATGGATCTACAGAGTGAATAATCAGATGTGTATAGATGTGTTTTATTAGACTCCAAGACCGAAAGATTCCCTCCTTAAAAGCGCGCATCAAATCCTGAGATCAGAGGTTTGCCAAGAATCGCTACAGCTGGCCACCCTGGGATGCAAAGAGCAACCGGCTGCACGACTCTCAGGAAAGACCTGCATAGCTTTTTGCCACTGCCAGGAATCCGCTTCAGCACCTGAAAAACGGTGCCGGCAGCTGAGAGCAACTTGAAGCTGGACCGAACATGTTCTGCATTTAACGAGAGAGGAAAGGTTCCAAAGATTGTGGTTTGGAGATGGAAGATTCTGAAGATGGTCTAGAATTATTTCTCACATCTTCCAAGAAAAGGCTTTGGACGACTCTCTTCCGGCCCTCAGGCGGCAAAACGCACCTCCCCGCTTTTTTTTGTGCTGTTTGTTTGGGGGTCCACCAAACGTATACTGTCTTTTCTTTGCCCAGTAATGTGGTAAAACCATAAACCATCTCAAAAAACCATCTCAAAAAACCAGCATCAATGGGTATAAACCATCCCCAAATGATAGGTTTCTAAAATAGTTGATTATAAAGGCTTCACCACATGCCCAATACCTCCATTTTCAGCCGACACGGCACAGGTCAGGGCGTCCAAGCTCACTAAGCTCGGCTGAAAGCTCCGGGCCATCCCCTGGGATCTGAGGCAACATGGCTGAGGGCCGGCTGAGAGGTCCCCAAAATGTAGCAAAAAGTATTGAACTACCCAACCAAGAAACCAAAAAACGAAAGAATTACCAAGTCATGGCCAGCTACAACTGCTGATGTTCGAATCTGTTGCTTGAGACAGTCAAGTCCCAAGCTTTGGTGTCTGCTCTTGTTGATTGATTTGGACCATACAGGTAAATGCTTGTGCCGAACTGGCTCAGGTGCTTCTTACCATTCTTGCTGGTGAAAACCAACATATTTCTTCAGATAACTTTTCCTTCTGGTCAGAATTCCTGGTATTTTGGTTGCTCAAAACCACGAATTGGTTCACGAGGATGTCAGATTTCTGTTGTCCGACGCCCCGAAACAGATTCAGCTGATAAATTGAATGGATGTCTAGGATGGTGTGGCTCTGGGTCAATAACAGTTTAACAATGGATCCACACATTTGATGATGTCTGGACCTTTTTGTATTAAACCATCCACTTTGCAGGGTGATCATTTTGACCCATCCCCAAAAATCAGCCAGCCTTCATCAATCTCAGCCAAGCAGCAATTGCCAATTGCATAGCCATTGGCCACTGTGCCACCTGATCCCCTCTTCGACCTCGACCTGTCACCCAGATTCTTGGGGAATTAATGGACTTTTCATGGTTTTGGGAAGTTTTGGGAACCCCCGTGATTGATGGGCAAACACGTGGCAACATGTTTTGCCCAGTGTTTTGGGAGGATTTGCCCCAGCAGCAGATATTTGACATGAATCGTTTTCTGAGGTTTGGTGATGATTTAAGAAGTTTTATGGTATGGCTGCACTGCATGAGTGTCCCTAGATGGGTTGTGATGGGTGCGGTTGATGTCAAATTCACGGTTATCAAATGCAGTGGACTCAGGCTCTCATTTACATATTGGTGGAGTGTCAGTCCATGCTTCAGTGATGTAGCTTGCAATTGAATCTATTCCCAGATGAAGGCCAGGAAGGCCCCCCAGGTTATACGTTCTTTCAAAGAAGTTCTTTCTTTTAAATAATAACATAATAATAATATTATAACACCATCCAACGATGTGTCCATTGTAAACCCCCCTTAAGCTGGAGTTAGTCATAAGATGGAAAGCAACGTAGCTATAGTGGCTTGAGCCAAGTGACAAGCACTCATGCACGCATTGTAGGTGACCACGGTCGGCTGCAAGAGTGCCTGTTTGAGACGACAACGAAGCGCCTATCATCAGCCAACAAATGATGGAAATATGCTGAATGTAAATTAGGCGAATATGCTGAACATCAGATGATGATCTGGTTTAAAATCGCGTACCACAGAGCCATGGAGCCATGTTGCCCTCTGGTAATGACGAACAGGTTGCGATTGAAAATGGCCCATTTAGTTCGTTGATTTACACATTAAAAATGGTGATTTGCCATAGCAAACTGTTAGTTTACAAGAGGGTAACATTATAATTTGAAAAAAAATGAAAAATATGTTTCTCCACCGTGGCATGAGGTTTCATAACTTTCAGACAAATCCACAGCATGACGGGACTCTGATGACGATGTTCAGGTACCTTCAGCGCGCAGCTCAGAAGTTGCAGAACAGGTGGCCAAAGCATGGCTTTCTGACAGCTGCTGATGGCAGAGTTGTAGGTGATCATCTGCGGCCTCGAGCCATGCGAAACATGGATTCTAGCTGAATCATATGGAGGTTTCATGAGGTTTCCTAAGTGGGGGTACCCCCTCCTTTCATCCAAGTCATCAGACCATGACTTACTGGTTGGTGGTTTTAACCATCTTGAAAAATATTAGTCAATGGGAAGGATTATCCCATATATTATGGAAAATAAAAAATGTTTGAAACCACCAACCAGCTTAGTATTGAAACCCATGGGATTCCCCATTAATTAAGAAGCCTCCATTAATTGATTCACCAAAGCCAAGATTATTTAGTCATTTTGTGATGGTTTCTGTTCCTGCCAAGCATGGGTTGTGTTAAATGATGTTGGAATATGTGTAATATGTTGGATGGGGGTTGGGTTTCAAACTTTATGTTGAAATTTGGGAATGCGGAATTTGGAATAGAATAGACGTGTCGTATTGTTAGACTGTTGAAAACGCTTGTTGTGATACCAGTCGAGTAGGCTTTGGAAATGTCAGAAGGAAACGGTTCGAACTCCGCTCAGGTGTCAAACTGGCAACTATTACAAACTCAAATATCAACGTCGCCACCACCGAAAAGGGAATGCGAAGCTCAATCACCTTCTTTAAAAGCACCACATTTTGCCATGGACTCCCATCGTTCCCAATGTGTGAGTAAAGGTCAAAAGCATGCTAGCCTGACGTTTATCATCGTTTATTCCCTCGAAAAAAAAAAACGGGAAATCTGATTGGTTTGGTATCAATACCAACCATGATCGACCATGGTACCAACCATGGTACCTTGGTATCAATCCTGTCCCAGCAGCTGTGCAGCTATCCCCTCCAGCAGTTGCAGCGTTTGTTGCCACTCGGAGACTTTGTCGCAGCAGCTGATCGCCGAGTTCACAGCGATGACCTGAGACAGGCAGTTCCCATGAACATGGACGTTACACGATATGGCCATGGCTATCCAAAATATGCTAAAACATCCTAAACATGTATCTCGTAAAATGGCTACAATACCATTATCATTAAAGAACCCTGGATTACTCCTAACAGGGCTACTCCTAAAAGTTGCTATCATCTAAAAAAATATCTCAAACAAACCAAAACAATCAAACAAATCCAAACAAAAAACACACAAAAAAGAACATAAAAAACAATCCAACAATTCAAAAACACATTCAACAAATCAAACAATATACAAAAAAAACAAATCAAACAAATCCAAAATAATCTAAAAGAAAGTCAAAACAACATGAACACAACTATGCTTTCTTTTTAAGAAACGTTCAAAACAAAAAACAACACATTCCAAAAAAGTTCAAAAAAAACTGCACATTAAAAACAACAAAATATCAAAAATGGTCAAACAAATATTTAAACAACTCTTTAAAATAAAGTAAGAAGTATCAAGGAAAAAAAATATATATATATATATGTGGAATGAACAAGAATTATTTGAAATCAAGATGAATTACCTGAAATTAAAGTTCATGAAAAGGAATGTTCTAGGAGTGTCCTTACAAGGAATGTCCCCGTCCATAGACAAGACCTTAGCAGTTTACCGCACAGCAGGCAGCCACTTAAACCCGCCCTGATACCGCCAAGGCGCATAGGGAGGGAAGGCCTTCAGCTGCATCCCGTCCACCAAATGCAAGGCCTTCAACAGGACGCAACATCTAAAGTTTGAGTGGCATTCATCATAGTAGTCTGGTATGTTTTCATCTTCATATATATATATATATATATATATTATATATATATATGTATATGTCTTCAATATTATTGAATTATGTTTGTTTATGATATGGATATGGTTCCTGGTTTTGCTCTTGTATAACGGCGAAAACAAATTCTAGGTCCATCTCAATATTATGCATTCTCAATCAAACGGCATTTTGTGGTAAGGGTAGAAGCACGAGAAACACAATCATGAGTAATTAATTATGAAGCCACAACCTATGTGAATTTCCAAGATGTGCAAGGAGATGTGCAAGGCCAATGCGGCGTCGCAGGTACCCTTTGGTAATCCGTCACAGTTGGAAAATCTATCAGAATGCCCACAGCAAATGGAGGTTTAGATATGGAGGTTTCCTGACATAGACTTAACCCCAGTTCTCACTCACTTTAATAGGATTGTCCAGTATAAACCATCCATTTGGGGATCCCCATTTATGGAAACCCCCATGTCATCAGCCGAGCAGCTTGAGGCCATTCTCCATGCATCTTGCAAGCGCTGATGGTGGCGGCCTAGGTATGACATTGTTGATGTTAATGATATGGAAACAAATGGATGTGTATGTAGACAAGTTACATGCGAATGATATGGGAAGGTGGGCATATATATATACATATCATTATATTATATTATATTACATTATGTTATATTATATAATATTATGTTATATACATGTTAAACTGTATCTAGAATCCACTGTTATACATAGTTATACATATATTATGATGTAAGTACATATATATGATGTATCATTGATATCATTATATATATATATATAAATTATGATATTCCCAGTTAAGCAAGACGGCCAATCCAGCTGCTAAGCGGGATACACGTTCAAGATCATGCAGGTAGCGAAATCATGTAGAAATTGGTCAAACTATGCATGAGCCGCGGACTTTGGTACATAACGTAATTGACAGGGTGTTCCTACCTCGTTTTCCAGTCCCGTTGCGTTTTTCGGGTCTGACCTCGTTTTCCAATGCCGCGCTTGATCTGAGTAGCTAGATGCTTTATATGAGATGCCTACCTGGTTCTCGGGGTGTGCCTACCTTGTTTTACAGCCTAATTGTGATATTTTCGGCAAACCGGGGTACACCCCAATACTATTCTCCATTTAACCAAATAAAAGCCGTTGCTCATATGTCAAAATGACAAGGTGATATGTTCCATTGCCATGTCTCTTTCTACTAAAGGTCATCCGCAGTTTTCCTGTTGGCATTCTTGAATGGAGTTGAAACGAATTGGAACCAATTGAGTCGTCGTCACACCAGCTTCCAATCACTTTCTATCATGTAGTACGATCCATATCATACAGTCGACGACACATTTCAGGATCATCAGGATCTCTAAGAAATAGATGTTTTCCTCTTTACTTTGTGACTAGTGATCTTTCATGATCGTTTGCACATCTTCCATGCTGGCGTTGCTCCTCAAGGCGGGCTGATGGCCCCTGCCTCCGTCACCATGTCAAGTTGAAGATGATGGGCCAACGCCTCTGTCCTTGGGGCAGCGGTGGTTAACATAAGAAATCTACAACAAATAGATCCTTGGAAATCTGGATCTGAAAGTCTGAAGCCATCCAATCTGTGCCAATTCTTTTAGGGCGCGCATTTCTGAAGGCAGCAACATGTTCAACCAATCCCTGAACCCCAACTCCTTTCCTGTTTCAAGAATCGCTTTTTTGGGGATTGTGAGATGCGAAATTTCGCTGGTGAAATCCCAAAGCCCGGCACATTCGTGTTGGCTATGTCGGCTATGTCCGCATTTCTGTTCTCTGTACCATCCTACTGACCTCCACCGAACTTCACTTGCTCAAATCTTCTTAAATTATCATCTGGTCATTTAACATAGCCATGGAAAATCACCATTTTTAATAGGTAAACCCTCTATAAATGGGCCATTTTCCATGGCTATGTTAAATAACCAGAGGGTATCTTAAAACCTCACAGTTCTTGCTGCTTCAATCATCATCATCCCTGTGTTTGTGGCTTGGACCTTCCCTGAAACCATTAAAGTCCCAATGGCATGAGCGCCAGCGACTCTCGCCAGCGACCTTGTCGGGCACATGCGCTGATGGTAGCACCTCAAGATGGATCACTTCAGCCTGGGCACATCTCGTGGTTTTCACATCAACATAGCTGGGATTTATGGAAATAAATGATGTTATCCCAGCTATTATGGTGATTTATGGCTAATATCATATACATTATATATACATTATATATATACATTATATATATATATATATTATATATATATATACAATATATAATTATAAATAATATACATGCTAATCTTATCTATGGTTATACATCATACATACATCTCATGTCCATAGATTATCCCACCAAACAAGGTATTGGAAGTTTTGATCGAAAGCCATTGTCATTTCGGTCATGACTATACTATACGGGAATTCTTATGTGATTCACCCCAGCACATATCACCACATACGTACGATGTGTCAACGAATCATTCACCACACCAGCTTCTATACACCTTCCTTGAACATATATGGAGGTTTCCTGAAGATGGGGGTACCCAAAATTGATGGTTTATAAGGGAAAATCGCATTAAAATAGATGATTTGGGGGTACCCCCATTTTAGGAAACCTCCATATATCATATGGGTTTGTCTGAAAATAAGTTACCCCCAAATTTTGATGTTTGATCATCGTTTTCCCATTTTTTAATGTAGCCAAAACTTGGGGTATATACAATTTTCAGAGACAGCCATATCGTGACACAGCATCGCTGCTCAATTGAGACCAGGAGCTGTACAGAATCAAATTCCCCTTGATGTGCCTGCGGCAATCTGGCTCAGATTCAAGGCTGATAAAACAATTCTTAGGAGGCACAATAAACATTGGATGTTTCTGGTACTGGTAGATATATTATATATATATAATCTTAAATGATGATGTAACCATACTGGTGATATATGATTTCTAGAATGATACTACTCATGAGTGAGCTGTGACCAAATTGGATCAAATCTGGTCTCAAAATGGCTGTGGCTCAAATGGTGCCTCGACAAAAAGCTGGTATGCGGTATAGCTGGAACTAAATGAATGTTCACTCCACAAAATGTGGCGTTAATGTTAACGTTTCCAGACAGGATTAATGTGCTCCCCCAGGTTATTTTCATGAGGAGGGATAACTATATACTAATTTTATCTAATTTTACCAGTTATCATGGTCAATCTTTGGTAGTCCACAAAACAAACTCTTGCAGTTTAATGCAGTTTATGGGTATGTTCAAAAAAAAATAAAAAACGAAGTCGGACTTAACTACCCATCCAGTCGGTTGGGGATATGCCAATGGCGCCTCTCATCCATGCGCCGGAGCAAATCAATGGCCTGCTGCCAACTACAGGCCTAACAACGACTTGACGATGCAAAGCAAAGGAGAAGAAAAAACAAAGGGAAGCAAGGTGTTAAATGATTTTAGTGGATTTCAAAATGGATTTTGAGTTTTTCTTTGCAGTGTGTATAGGACATGCTTCGGGTTTGTTTCAAGATAGGATTTAGTGCCACAAAATCCAAGGGTGCGTCATATGTTTTCCATTGTTGTTTCCATTAAAGGTACCATAAATTGGAGTAAACAGGTAAACCACATTTCAGGACAAGCGATGCACGGCACCGCACGGCAGCCCTGGCGCGAAAGAAATTGCTTTGTTTTCGTAGTTTCTGCGGAAGGATTGGGAACACATGGATCAAGAAGACATGAGGTTCATTCACCTGGATATAATGGGTAGTACTGGGGATATAAATGGATAATCATGGAAACTAGTGGATAGTTTTTGGGGTAATAATGGATAGTAATGGATAACAATGGATAATAATGGATAGTCATGGATAATAATGGATAATAATGGATGTAGGATGATATAACATGATATACAGTAACCAACTTTTCTTGAAGGGTACCGAAGCCATGCGGCTGGCATGGCTGCACTGTAGGAGACCACGTTGCTTGCACCATGATACTCCAACCTTGAGAGCTGCCCACGCATGTCATGATGTCTGAACGTCTGATCTTGTCTCGACAGATTTGTGAACGGTGAAATTTGGAAAACATTCAACGTTGGCAACTGATGCAATCAAAAAGCTAGACCACAGTATAGAGTCACTGAAACTAACACAGTTCTTCCCAACATGGTATTGTCTCTTCTGCCCTAAAGTTCAGGACTGCGTCACAGAGTTTCTTCAAGCAGCTCTGCCAGCAGGGATAGAGCTTCTGTCCGGTCCGCTTTAGCACATGCGCTTATGCTAGCATTGTATACTATAGCCTCAAGGTCAGCCGCGGGGGTTGTGAAGCTCACATGACCCCACTGACCTTTTTTTTAGTGCCCGAGTATGTTCGGAACTGCCTGAAGTAGGCTCGACAAATCCAACAGGACACCAGGCAGTGAAATCATGACCAAACTGTTTGTCTAGCCAGGAGTAAAGTATTACAATTACAATGTATTATAAACATTTATATTATAAACCATTCATCCAAATCATCCAAGCTTGAGCGAGAAATTCTGAAGGAACGTCATTGTACAAATCGCAAATGGATCACAGGATACCACAGGTTCTCTTCCCTGCCCGGGCGGTTGCTTCGTATCCAAGACGCATTCGGTTGAACCAGGCACGCCTGAAAGCGGAAGTGCACGTGATCACATGGAACCCATGGAGCCCTGGCCCTGTTCTTTTTTGTGGCCTTTTGAATTTTCGTTGGATGTCAGTTGCTTACTTTCTACCGAAGATAGTGCCAACCTTGTGCAACTGCATTATATATTGAAAAAAAATGAAAAAAAAACATGCGAGGTGGTGAAGTGGTGCGCTAGAAAGACGAACATTCCAGGTGGTCCATGGGATCTGGGAAAGCTTGGAGCTTTCGACCCATCTCAAGACAGTGCATCAACCCCAACCGATTTTGCCTCAAAGCAGTAGAACCACCCCGAATCACAACCCTGGCAGGGAGTATGGTACAAGATTTACGAGTCAGACTTACCATTTCTTCAGCATGTTCCTCCTAACGTAAGTCAACAAACATATCCTGAAATCTGGGGTTTCTTCATATTTCTTCACCATCTCCAGTAGTTTCAAACACCAAAATTCTCGAGAAATCGTGGGTTTCTCCTTTCTCCACCATTCCAGTGGTGTGACCCACCATTCACTCCTCCACGCCTGGAGGTCCCTGAAGATGCGCAAACCTTGCCTCCATGCGCTGCAAGATTCACAGGAACTCACCAGGGCACCTAGGGTCACCACATTTGGCTGGAGCGATTCATGGCATAGCTCCTGATGGCGGAGATATGCGGAGATGTCCTTCTGGAAGGACCCTTCAAGGTACCTAAGAATGGGTCAAACTTCGTAAAATGAATGGGAAACATATGGGAAACATACCAAATTTTGATGGGTCGGAGGCTCTACTGCTTTCTTTTTTGGGCCCGGGTCACCTGACTGCCAACCCACCCAGTCGAGTAGCATAATTCATATACACCTACACCCTCCAGTAATCAAACGTGGCTTGCTGGAAAATCCACCGGTTAAGGATGCTTTTTCTGGCTATAAATTATTATATATTATAAACCTCCATTTATACGGGATTTCTCATTGCCATGTTTGATTACAAGAGGACAAGAAGGTAGATTGAAAATCAGAGCAAACAGGAACATATGCCTGCCGTCACCCTCTCCTCAAACAGCATCAAGGCCTGCTGCCATTCTGCTGCCTTTTCGCACGCACTGATGGCCGCACTGTAAGTGATGACATTCCTCAAGACAAGGCCCCCTCTCCAATGCGATGCAACAAGGAAGGCGCTAATGACACGGGAACCCACAATATACTGAAGCGATTCGGGTTGAATACAACCCTCAAAATAGTCGTGTGAACATATCAAGGTCAAACAACAATACCACTACTATATACTACGATGCCTTGTGCCAGCACTTGTCAGAGTTCAAGTTGATGTAGCCATTATCATCCCAAAGATTGTTTTAGTGGCTAGTGAAAGTTGGCAAGGGCACACGTGCCCAGTACTAAATAGTGATCAGGAACAAGGCATATCTGGGTGAGCATATTCCTAAGTCATTCCAAAATCCACTGGTTCATCATCATCTGTCAAAAAATGTCATAAAGAACTGGCATTCCTAAAGTGTCATCCCATGTCCTATCCTCATTCCGCATGATTTTTCCACCCCTTTGCAACCACCAGCTCTTTCCGAGCATCGGAGTCAGCCGTAGCAAGCCGACGTTGTGCAGAAGGAGCCCGGCAACTTGCCATCTGGATGCCTTCTCGCAGCAGCTGATGCTGGCGTTGAAACCTCGAAGAAAAACCATGGGATTTGCAGCAGGAAACCATGGGAATGGGAATCCATCGGGGATATAATGGGGACAGAATGGTGATATAATGGATTAGGAATGGTTAGGATGTAATGGGATACATAGCTCTTATTAACCAACCAACAATTAGGCTTGCCCTCCGGGAAGCAGTCACATGGCGTGCCGGATAATCCCTCAGTTAAACTATGTTCTCCTTTCAATGACTGTTTATAGGGGATTGTCCATTGCCATGTTTGATTAGTGGAGAGTAGTTGCTTTGAATTCGATTAAAAATAAAACAGGCAGGAAAAATCAGGAAACCAGGGATTATCATTGCTTTCGATTGCTATAGAGCTTTTTACCCTTCATCCAATGCTGGGAGTTACTATTGCAAAGCACCCTCTCCCCTTAAAGCCGACCCAGACACATTAAAAGTATGTGACAAACAAACACAATCATTTTTCAGGCAGCATGGACAAAAAAGAAACCATCTACCGAACAGGGTGTCAAATTTGGCCCCTTAAAAATGCAAAAAAAAAACGCAACTGTTGCACTTGAATGAAGCATGAGATCTTGTTTCACACTGCGGTCCTTGCAGGCCAGGGACTTACAAGAGTGGGCTGTAGCCGAACAGCACAGATCCTTTCCAGCAAATGAAGGGCGTTCTGCCAGTTTTGGCTTCTCTGTTGCAGTGTGATGAGCTTGTTGTAGTCGATGGTGGTGCGCAACGACATAGCCATGGCCGGTGGCCACATGTGGCCGCGCTGGCCAGTTGGCAAATGAATTCCACGTCTGAAACGCTGCAGGTTTAACTCATAGCTGCCATAGCTGGAAGAGTTGCAAAGATCTTCAATTGAATGAGATGAGATGAGATAAGAATTGAGTAAAGTTACAAACCAACTTCCCCACAAAGAACCTGAGCTACGGACTGAAATATGAAACATGTTCCACACAGCCATGCTCAAACACAACAAAATAAATAGGCTCAACCTCCCCATCCCCTCAGCCCATCTCAGCCCTTTCCCCCCGCTCCTTTCGCCGCTTGCACCACCCATCGTGACCGGCGCTTCCGTGGGGCACTGGCACCATTGGTCGAACGCCAGCCGTAGCGCCCGGCCAACAGCAGAGCGAGTCCGACGCGTGGATCTGGGCATGACATCGGGTCAGGGCCCATCGGCCCGTCCCATGGAGGTGGAAAATTGGAAATCCAGGGTCCAGGACCGCTTTTGTCTCAGCGGACACCCATGGGCACCCCCATCTGCTGGCATTTTGTATGGCGAAATATGAACAAGCAAGATAAACTGAGATGATTTTGGGATCAAATGTTTGTGACTGGAGACTCAGCAAACGATGCTTGATGAAGGGAATGTAGGTTTGTTGTAATGATCTAAGTTACAATAAAGGTGTTTTATAAAGATCTTTAACAACAAGGACGCTGGAGATTTAGTCCTTCAAAACCAGTGGTGAATGGGTTTAGTTTACTTGTCAAGCCCTTACCATCAGCCCAGCATCCCATCCGATGAAGTTGAAAGTGAGACTGCAATTTTTCTTTGGGTATGAAATAGAATTTAAAGAAACACCAACCATTCACCACTGTTTCCCCAAGCCCTTCGTGCCATCTCTGCCAAGCATCCGCTGCTGTGTTCGCCCACCGCCCTGGGTGCCGCAGCTGTACTTGGCACCGCCACGTGCTGAGCGTCGATGGAGAGAGCACCTCCATTAGGAGCAGTGCATTGGCTCCCAGAATTCGAGGACGGGACATTTCCTACAATGGGGGTACCCCAAAATGGATGGTTTATAATGGACAATCATACTATAAAATGATTAAAACATATTAAAAATGGATGATTTGGGGGTACCACCATTTTAAGAACCCCCTGCATGCTTGAGGGGAAAAGCCATGGTTTCCCCGCTTAAGTTCTTCCATTGAACCAACCCATTGATTTCAGCAAGACTGACGGGCCCTGGAACGAACCTATTCTTAGCATTTCTTAGCAATGTGCACGCTGATATTTATCATGTGCACAAGGTGACGTTTGTTTTGGTTGGGGCTAAGACGAAAGACTTTGCTTGCTTAAACATCATTAAAGATGGTCTCAGTTTTGAATCCGTAAAGTGGGTATGGTTTGATTTGTCTTCGTACCCCGGACTGTGAAAAAGGGGCGTCGTAGGAATGTGATTTCATAGAGAATTTCCAGTATCTAGTCTATTGTGGCCAAGATTGCCCTAACTACCCTATATGAGGTAGTTGGGATCATCATTCCATCTAGGATGTAATTAGGAAAGACTCTGATTGAAACTGTCATATAAAAGGGGTGTTAATGGTTGTCAATCATGAATACGCAATCATATCATATATATATATATATATAAATATAGTAATATAATATAGTAATACAGTGTACATATGTGTACATTAAATCATATAAATACATGATGATGCTTGAATATCAACCAGGATCAACTAGGGATATCGCAAGGGTGTGAACTCATAAATCCGGGCTCACCGCTCAATGGGGAGCTATCCAATCTATTTATATATATATATGCATACATGTATATATATATATATTATGTATGTATGTATATATATAGGGACTTCAAATGGCTGGTTGTGGTCAACTTTTGGTTTTGTAAATAACCATAGGAAACAAAAGTTCCTGTTACTACAATGACTTGTTCTATAACTTTTGGAAATCCTATATCCTATATATGATATATATATTGGACTGGTTTTTAAACAAGTCACCTAAAAATCCTATGTCCTGTTGCCACTGTCAGGTGCCTCGTGGCGCCACAAAAGTCAGCGACCTTGGTGATCTGCCGAATCTGGAGGTTTCCTAACATGGGGGAACCCCCAAATGGTTGGTTTGTAATGGAAAATCCATCTGTAAACGGATGATGTTTTGGGGTACCCCCATAAAAAAGGACACTTTTACATTGCTTCATTTCACAACTCAAGACTTACACGTCTAAAATTTATATAATGGCCAAAATTCCCTCCGGCGACAAGAAGATTGGTCACATGTTGCTACTTGTGGCAAACCAAGTTCGGCAAGGGTTTTGTTTCCACTTCAACTTATACATCAGACCCCAGGGCTTGCCAGTTGACTATTCATTCTTGAGGTACCCAATTTTGACCCAGAACCCAGTCCCTTTAAAAAGGCAGCGGTGGCATCCTAATGTCACTAAGGCTTGCCGAGCTGGGATGATTAGGTCATTAGATCCACGGATTGCACATCATCAGCTGCGTCCAAGAGACATGGCAAACGATCACGCTGAGTTTGCGCTTTCCGCGATGCCGCGCGACGACAACTAAACGCTGAGACAAGGACAGGCCAAACGTGAAATGGTTGGTATACGATAGAATCAACAGAGCTTGGATGATAAAACACGACATCTAGGGATAAGATGGGATAAGATGGGATAAGATATTAAGGATATAAAAGGCTCATAAATCAAAGAGTTGAATGGTTCAAGACAAAGGATGACCGGTCAATCTGCGGATTTCAGCCAAAGGCTGGTTTTAAAAATCGATCCAGTGACACAACGAGGGATGAACTGGGGATTTGCAAAGCTGAACCATGTCCCTTACAGCACAGAAAATCGCACCGTTTTTTTTGCATCGCAACGTTTCTAGCTGCGGAATCCGATGATCCTCAGCTGCTTTGTCACATGTCATGTCTGGCTTTTTCATCTTGTATCTCACCGCAAGCAGGTGATTGGATTTGATGTGTGCCTACACCGCCTCCGGTTGGAATTGATGGTCGAACACCTGCAGGATGCCGGCGGAAAAACTGTGGCACCGGTGCCAGCTAATCTGTAGGAATTAAGGTCGCCCCACGCACTGAAGGTCACTCTGCCCTGAAAGGACTCCACCACGGGGTTGTTGAAGCATGAGGTACACCAAAAGTGACATTCAAAATTGAGAAAATGAGGATAAACCATAGGATGCCATAGGATGGTTTTCCCAACATTTTCAGACATGTCATGTCTGGAAGTAAATCTTATAATGGTTTCCGAGAAAAAAAACAATCAAATCAGCTATAAAGCTGCAGGTCTAAGACTGGGATCTAGGAATTCTTGGTGTCTCAGCTGAGCAGCTGGGGTGGGATAGCCTTTTCAAATCCATAACTGCAGCTTGATTTTTGAAATCATGGCAAGCTTCGCTGGCGGTGCTCTACTGGGCATCCTGGGCATCTGCAACACTCCATGGGAACCCATGGCACGGTAGCCAGTGATGGCGGGGGCAGCAGCTCAGCTTCCTAGCCTTCCCACAGGCCCAACAACCAAGTAAATCTGAGAGATCCTGCAATCATAGGTCAAACATGGTCAAACAGGTTTAATAGGGTAGTTCTTCATTGTCCCTCTTCAACGTGCAATTTTTGCTGGTTTTCCGACACACCCAAATGCCATCTTTAAGAGAGATCCCTGGCGACACGGATGTTCCAAATATTTTTCCGCTAAGCTGCTAGCCACCGCCGGTGGAAAGACTCACTGACTTTCACAGGTATTGATTGGCTATTTACATGATATTACGCATGATTTCACATGTCTTTTATCTACACTATTTACATCTATTTACACCGCTTTCGTACTCGTACTGGACAGCTACTTGGCAGCAAAGATGCTGTCCTTAGCTCACCGGCTAGGCCAGCATCCTTGCTGTCATAGCTGCAGCACTGCCAATTGCAAATTGGTTCAGTGCAGTTTGGCAGACCTGCAGATCCCTCCGCAAACTCCCAAGCAGTTTTTATGACTCAGAAATTATGACTGATGATTGATGATGATAGAATTACGACTATAGAATCAGGGTCTCAACCAATATAGGGTTTTCCTTGCAATTTTGCGCTTTACCTATCAGTACCAGGTTCCAAGAAGCCGGTTGGTCGAAAAAAAATTGGCTACCTACAAAATCCTAGTTGATCATTATTTTGCTCCTTTGAAATTGCAATTTTGGATCATTTTGGGATATACCTCACTTCTGGACAAACCTAACTCATGACTTCTTCGGACTCCGCTGCCGTCGCATCTTCCTGTTGGCTGTCTGATGATCAAGTTTGGCTCTGGTAGAGGGATTTTGAGCTGTGGAAGCTGCAGACGCACTCAGGGTCCAGAGTCGCATCTGAATCAACCCTGTAAGTGACCTTCCTTCAGTTTTTGGGTGCTTTTCAGCACCCTTCTTGAACTGTACCAATCACAGTTTGCTTACCCTCTGATCAAACATGGCAACGGAGAATCCACGGAAACCTGCAACGATCATCTGCTATTTTCGGCGATTTTCGGGTAGTCACCGGCAAAATCTCCCCGTCGTAATCTGATCTGTTCAGAGATATCCCAGGATTTTCCATGTGCCATCTCCCAGAGTGTACAGCAGGGCAGATTGCCCCAAAATTTGCATGGCTGACCCGGCAGCTCAGTCCGTAAGCATGGCGGAGGGAAGCGACGGAAGCACCATTTCGGGGGCGGTCTCGTCCGGTGTTTTCGGTGAATCATCTCATCCGGCCATATTAAAATACTCCCCACATCGCGACAAAACCAAGGTTTCTAGAGAGTATTTGGTAGTGGGATGAACGGATTACTGTACAGAATGTATATAGTCATTTAATCAACCAATATGCTGCGGATCTGGCATCAACCGGTCTGTTTGTCCTATTTCCCTGCATGAAATTGAATTGTCAGTCCCAATCACCAGTCACTATAGCCAATCAACAACAATCACATGGTCAGTAAATCCATGTAAAATCCCAAACCTGCTTTAGGTGTTTGATTCGTTCCCCATGAATCAACACGATCAGCACATTCGAAACCAGAAATGGCGTCCGTGGCCATGCGAGCTGCACACTGCCCCAATAGGTATTTGGGCATTGCGGCATTGCGGTCGAGCCACATAGCAAAGCGGGTGAATTCGAAAGCCTAAAATTAATGCCAAAGACCAAAGGTCTTACATATAAATGATGGCAACCCACAAAAAAGATAGAATTTGGTAAAATCCCACCAAGATAGTGATAGATTGCTTAATTTCTGTTCTTTTGGGGGGTACTATAAGTATATCTTGAGATTGTTGGTGACTGTATTTTGCTTGAGTTTTTGTGAGCAAACATGCAGTCCAAACTTAACAATTTAAACTTTAAACATCTAACTTACATTGAATCTACTCTCTGGCAATCAAACATAGTGATGGAAAATCCCCCTATGTATATATATTATATATAATATATAGATTCACAGATGATTTTCCCTTTAAAACACCTTCATTTACAGGGGATTTCCAATTGCCACGTTCGACTACCAGAGGATCCAGAGGCAATTGCCAAGTGTCACGTTGGATCTATTGATATATTGATCAATCACAGCAATCCAGGATCTGGAACACATGTGGGCTCTCACTCCCATAGCTGTTGTTCTTGTCGTCTTCGCAAACGCTCGAAGGCCAACCAAAGTCCATCCTGGCGAACCGAGACCAGCCAGCCAAATGCTGCTGGAATAATAGGGCGACACTTTTAAGGCTTTTAAGTGGAGGGCTGGCCATTCCATCTTGAATGAGGATGTTTGTACATACATCATTATCTTCTATATAAATGCAACATGGGAACACATATATAAGGAAGACGACTTTCAATTCAGGCATTTGTGGGAACGAATCATTCGAACACCGCCACCATGGCACAATATCAAGGGGACCAGCTGCAATCCTGGCGAATGATCTTTGGAGCAAATATTAGCAACATTTGGAGGTTTCCTAGAACGGGGGTACCCCAAAATGGATGGTTTATGATGGAAAATCATATTGAAATAAATAATTTGGGGGTACCACCATTTTAGGAAACTTCCATTTAGCAACATATCACAGAAGGAGCAGGGGAATTGGCCATTTGGCCAAGCTTCACAACTTCAGCCAAAATTCTGAACATCACTGACTTGACTCAACAGAAAGAACATTCAAAACTCTTCGGTTGCCTCGTGGAATTTGGCCAGCACAAGAGGGTGTCTCAAGGGAGAGTTTACACAATTCTTTAAAATAGGAATTTACTATTATATCATTTCAACCAGGAGTTCCCGCTCGCTATACCCATTAATCCAGCATCATTTCAGAGAAAAAACACGACCCATTTTCCCCCTTGGGTGAGACCAGCAAGATCCCCATGCAAAACAACTCCTGGTTGGTGGTTGACCTACCCTTCTGAAAAATATGAGTTCGTCAGTTGGGATGATGACATTCCCAATACATGAAAACATAAAAGCCATGTTCCAAATCACCAACCAGACTCAATCTTTACATCCGAAATGTGAGTTTTTTATCTGCGTCAAACATCCATACATTCCATCAACCAGGCGCCCGCTTCGTGAAGCCAAGAGACCCGATCAATGTAGGCACCTCCATGGGGTGATGGAAATACCCTCTGGAAATAAACATAGCTATAGCGGCTATACCATACATGGAGATTACAGTATTATCTGATTGCAGCAATATCTATGGCATAATGTAATATGTAATGTAATAATTATAGCAATGATCTAATTATATATTTTGATATATGGAACATTATGATCATGTAATAGAAAAAATAAAAATCTATAGCATCATCTATATATGGAATATATGGAACATATGACACATTCATAGATTATTTCTGATGAATTACCTCTTAATCATGGTGATGTTCCAGTTCGCTATGTCACAAATGGTTGGGTTTGTCTGATTTTTTATTTCATCAACTTCACCGGAAATAAATTCACGGCACCCCTTGGTCCGAGTATTTAACCAAAAAATGATCAAATCATCCGGAACATTCCGGAACCTAAATGTTGATCATTTCTAGCATCAACCCGAATGCCATGGGTATGCTGATGATTCTTCGATCTTTTTATGGGTACAATACTACTAATCATATCACTTTAGGGGTCCCGGTAACGGTGTAAAAATAATTGACCCATACCCTCGCGTTGTTGCCGTTGAGGAAGATGGACGAGATTGTTTGGTTGAAACACGGAAAGGGGCATCTGCGACAATCGAAATCTCTGCCGTAGATGGATATTTTTTCCATTCAATCTTCTATTCAAATTATTTAATGATCGTGTATATATGCAATATATGTGGATATATACAGATTCTATCTATAACACAACAATACATAACATACAAAAGCGATGATATCACCAACACGATAACCGGTCAACCCCATCCCCAAATCATCGCCTTGAACCCAGCGCTCGCCGTCACTAGGTAAAATCTGGGACCGCGCGTGCAGGACTCGACGGTTGTCGAAGATCTGGGCAGGGGACACTTTTGGAAAACGGGGAGGGTGGAACTGCAACAAAACGGTGGGGAATATATGATTTGAAACTGAAACTACTAACAAGACTTGGGGATTTGAATCAAAACTTGGGATTGAGCAATCAAGAGCGAAAAAAATGACCAAGAAATCTGGGCATTTTGCAGGGAAAAAATGGTCGATTTCCATCAAAGGCCAATAACATCACTACGATGTAAGCTGTCAAGACTAGGATGTATAGTTGATGTATAGCTGGAAATGACAGCTGTTGATTGCAGATAAGACATGATACAACACGACAATAAGTCAACAATCTGAATTGCTCACCAAGAGAAGAGGGGAATGAATCTATGTGCAGCTCGAATCTACTGTAGTTTCTTCGGAAAGTAGTCTGCTCTTATACTTTCTATGTGAAAATTCTCATGTACAGTATTTAAGCAACCGATTCTGTTCAGTTGGCTCCAAGTTCCGCCGGCCCGAGGGCCCCAGGGCCCAAGGGGCCCAAGTCTCGACCCAGGGACCAAGATCTCACCAGGTTTGAATTGCATTGTCACTGCATGCCTCGGCCCGAATGGATCGATCTGTTTGAGGAGAACATTATATGTTTAGATGATCTGTTTAATATATTTTAACGTGTTTGGATGATTTTGATGATCTGTTTAATATATGTTTAATGAGTTCAGATCTGTTTGAATGTTTGAATGAGTTTACATCTGTTTGGATATGTGTTAAATATCTGAAAACTCTGGATTTTAGCGTGAAACAGAAGGAGATAGATTTGGACATATTCTGATCGCCAAGACCATCTGACCTTGTTGTGTTACAGTCTGCCTAGACCTGCAACCCACCCATGAAAATAACTACCGGCATGTTACATTCACATACTCTGTGGTAATTTAACTTAGTTATTTCAAAAGACAAAGTTTAAGTTTAAGAGATAACTTCACTGTAAATGGTCATGTTCAATAGCTATGTTAAATTACCAGATGGTAACCCAAAATGACGGTACTTCTATCATGGTTTACCAATCTTTATGGGCACTTTAGGCAATGTCACTGTTGATTGTCACTGATTGATTGAAATCAGGGATCCCACCATTGATCAACAGCCTCGAGGTTTAGCAAGATCCAAGGTTGACATTCTAGAAGATCCTCAAAAAATGCACTTATTTGACCGACATAACCTTCAACCTGCCAGCCTACAAAGCTGGTTGAGCACGGCTGGTTGAGCCACCATGAAAAATCTGAAAGTCACTTGGGATCAGCATCCCTAGATGGGGCTGAAAAACCTTTGAACTCAAAAACTAGTAATTGATTCCATTTATATAAAGTTCTGTGCACACAAAGTTATGTATATATATATATATACGCATATGTATATACATATATACATATATATATAATTAAATGCATGAATGTGTGTGTATAATATCTATATATATATGCATTTATTGATTATTGCACCATTGACAGCCTGTTTTAGCTTAATTGTTGACTAAACGAAATGCACCCGTTCATGTTCGATTAATTTGAGCAAATTCCAAGGACATGGATATCACATAATGCCACAGAATGCTTCTCTGGCTGGTGATTGTGCAACCCACTTCAAACATATTATCAGCTGTGACAATAATTTATTGCTTGAAGATGCAAAAAAAAAATATTATTTTAGTCATCAACTAACTAGTTGTTCTTCTTCACTGATCAATCTCAGAATCTCTCATCTAAAAATATCTAAAATCGTTTTTTTTGGTGAAAGCTGATTCCCTAAAAGATTCAGCCATAGATTTCCCATTACTTTCGTGGATTTCCCCCAGTGGAAACCTTGCTTTTCACCGAGGCTCTTCGGCTCATGGGCCAATTCAGAAAAACGTCGTCGAGCCTGGCGAAAATCGGAACACCCTCGCCATAGCCGTTGGTAATTTTACAGTTTGACTATTGAAAATGGCCATTGAGTTCATTTAATTCGTTGATTTACCTATTAAAAATACAAAAAAAATGTGATTGTCCATAGCTATGTTAGTTTACAGGCTGGTTTAACCAACTAAAAGGGAAGATCATGTGGGATATAGTGAGAACATCTACAACCAACAATGTGGCAGTGCTGGTCATCTCACCATCGTGCATGGTTTTTTTCTTAACATCCACATCTCATACATAGGGTCGTCCAAAACTTGGGAAAGTCCCATTTTATGGTGGGAAAGTGATGATAAACCAGGTTTGTTTTGGTGGTACTCTATTTTCAGGCAAACCCTTCGTGAGAGTTTCTGATATTCATGGCATCATGGAATCTTTTTATTTACCATTGAACCCGAATATCTCCACCAATGATCTCCTCACAAGTAAAAAAAAACAAGTTTTGGGCCACTGAATGGGGTTTGGGCTACTGAATGGTATGCATACTTCTCAACTATAAAACATAACATAACATCATTTACCAAACGGCTTACCCCTCCTGCATCATCAACTCACTCACTGCTGCTCCTCCACATGACTCGAAAAAGAGATTGTTGAGATCCATGCAGAAAGATCGGAATGCATGTATGCATGTGTGTACAAATATATATATATATATACATGTATATATATATAACGTGTATGTATGTGTGTATATGATTTATATATGTTGAATGTTGGAATTCCCAATCTTCCATTTTTTCGATCTAGCTCAAAACATGTAGCTGGCTCAATTTCATCAGGGGTATGTTTTGACAGTCACCTTGGGCTTTTTCAGAGGTACCATATCTAGTACTAAAGTAATCAGTGGGGATTGAACCTGGCAATTTAATGCAATTTAACAGATTGGGAAGTTTCTGCGATCTCGCTCAACTGCAACGAGCTGGCTCAGCACCATCGAGCTCGCTCAATGCCACGTAGCTGGCTCAGGGGCATCGAGCTAGCTCAATGGCATCGAGCTGGCTCAATTTTTTTAGCGGAAAAAAAAAAAAGAAAAAAAAAACTCGCAGAAATTGAGCCAGCTACGTCACGTTGAGCTGGCGGACGAATGTGAGAGCATCAAAACGAATACTAGCTATGTATTGGCCGGGTTCATGACGCATTGGCGAGCCGGCTCAAGGGCATGTAGCCGGCTCAATTTCTGCGAGGTTTTTTTTTTTTTGCTAAAAAAATTGAGCCAGCTACGTGGCGCTGAGCCAGCTACGAGGCGCTGAGCCAGCTACGTGGCATTGAGCCAGCTACGTGGCACTGAGCCAGCTACGTGGCACTGAGCCAGCAAGGTAGCTTTGAGCTTTGAGCTAGCAAGGAGGCAGTGAGCCAGCAAGGTAGCTTTGAGCTTCATCATATATATATATATACACCTATGCAATCCCAACCATGTAATATACTAGATCTAGGGAAAAGCAATTTTTTTGAGGGAGACACGTACCTTTGAGCTGGAGCGGGAATGTGAAATCTAACATTCGAATATGCATGCTAGCCAAAAAAACTAGTAAAAAAGTGTTTTTTGTGGTAATATATATATAATTATATATATATAGTATTATATACATAAATGAAATCAACATGACCATTTTGCATCTTTGGCCAGAGTCATCAGCGGTCATGCGGCCGCGCCAGCTTGTGGTCATTATCTGCGCCCTAGACTTGACCGGTGATGATGCTCACAGATACTAGAGGAATTTCAACAAAGGAATCATGAGAGTTATAAAAGGGACATTTGACTTAAATGGATTGATTTAACGTCTTGTTGTGCCTTGATCCATGCAAAAAAGACTGTGGTTTGCTGATCTGATATACTTCCGGTTGACTCCCCGAATGGTTGAGTTTCACACCACTGACATGTGGATTCTGATTGGTCCCCGTCATGCCTTGTAGAAATTCGCAGTAGTTTGCAGATCCATCGGCGGGGCATACCTGAGTCAGCGATTCTGACCATTGGGGAAGCCATTTACCGTAAAGATCCGGAAAGTTTGAAGGTTGAACAACGTTGAACCACCAAGAACGGCAACAAATTATAGAAAGGATCCGAAACGATCAGGACATGGACTTCCAAGATTTGGGGTTGTACAGCCATATATTTCTCCTAGCCTATTCCTCAATCTCAAATTGCTTTTGGCTTCCGAAATGATCCGAAATATCCGAAATGGAGTATCAAAGTATATGCTTGGAATCATTTATACGGCCCCCTTTTATGGTTGATAACTCAATACGGTTTATTTCGTCGATTCCAGAGTATGTAGGGCATAGTCCGCTCAAATCAAAGCATACGAGCCATCAAGCAAACTCAATCCCATCCCAGTATACTGGCTGGCCAATATGTATCCCTATTGTGGGCTACAATTATCCCCAATAATTCAGGTGGTATAATACAGTACAATAACTAAGCAACCACTTATCAATCAAATGTTTGATAGCTGAAGACTGAAGATCCTATAAAATTATCCTATATTGTATACTTGTTGTTGATGCTAAACTCCCAATCAAATATCATGTAGCAAATGTAGGAAGGAACTCTGTGGTTTTTGTGCAGAGTTCAAAACGACACATATTAGGGGCTTCTCAAAATAGGGGATCCCCAGTCGTCACCATGAGTTTCAATACCAAAATGGTCGAATGACTTGGATGAATTGGCAAATTGGGGTAAAATCACCAACCATGTCCCAGGTACTGGCCACTCTTCGCAGAGAAGCGCACGGACTGGGCCCGGGCGTCGACGGAAGATTTCTTTGGAAGGTCGGCCGGGGCACAAAACACTGGATTTGGACATAAGGGGGACAAATGGGGACATAATATGATGTGCATTTATGTTATGTATATATATATATACACATATCCAACCAATTTCATGTGACATGTGGGTTTGTGTGAAAATGAAGTATACTCCCAATGCATGTCCCTTTAATGGGGACAAGCATGGTTGACCAGCAACTGTTTGGGTTATACCGAGTTACACCTTTTCCGGACGAACCTATGTGGGTGTGAACCAGTCACAATAAGGATATGATGAGGGATATAGTGTTATATAACATGATACAACCAACAACATGGGGGTACAATGCTGTATGCAACAGAAACAGGCACAACATCCACCTTGGTCATTAGCTGGGGATATGTGGACGTTACAAAGAATGGAGGGCTCCAAAACCAAAGTTTCCCTACTAAAACAAACAACTTTGACGAAATAGTAGCGCCCCACCTTTTTTGAACAAACTCATTGCGATCCAAGAAGCAACACCTAAGAATCTGAACAGGATTTCATGTACAAATACGCAACCAGCAAATTGAGTTCACTACAAAGAGAGCCATGGATCCCTGAAAATGGTAAGGGTTTGTTCAAACCACATAGATGGGACCACCTAAGGGCACCAACATGGGAGTGGCCAACCCTGTCACGGTACAGTTCTGAGTCTTACCGTCTATCATGGGAGACTCCAAGTCCTCATGAAACCAGTGATGGCGAGAATCACTCAGAGTTATGTTATATATGTATTGAAGTTTGGATATGAAACAACTCTGTCAAGCAAGAATGGCTACAGTACTCATGCATATCAAACCAGCAAGAGCAAGAAGGCTAAATAAATGGTGCATGTCACATCATTTCACCAACGCTAAGGGTAAATTTGAATCTGTTGTCAACAAAAACCAGATATCTCATCTATGATAATTATAGCTGATTTACCCATCAAAAATTAAGACTGGTGGTTTTCCATCGGAGAGCTGCTTGAATCCCAGCAACAAATTTGATGGGTCCTCATAGTTCCAACTGGCTGACCACTCATTGAAGTGGTACGATTGCAGATCTCCATTTTGCAGGCTGAATCCCGTACTCCCATTTAAAAGGGTGGATGCGCATGTGAACAAGTCCCGATCCTATAAATCAATCCCATCATGATCATCATGTTCCACTACGACATGAACAATGTTGAGAAAACCATGAGATACCCTCCCGTAATCAAACGTGGCTGGCTGGACAATCCACCATTTATGGATGATTTTCATTGATTTTCCCATTATATAAACCCTCCATTTAGTTCGGGGATTTCCCAGCTAGCCAATGTTTGATTTTCCACCGGAGTGTAGTAATTACCATCCCGAATCCCAGCCATTTGGTCCGCACACCTTCAGGACCTTGTTGCCATCCGCATCGGCGGTATCCAACCTGTGGCATGGCCCTTGATGGCCCTTGGGGATTCAACCCCGGAAAAATCACGGTGCTTCCTAAGGCGACTTGGTTGAATCCCCAGCTTAGTCTTAGTGAGGGCATATATGCACCACATATATATATATATACATCATTATATACCCATGCAATTAATTATGTATATACATATATGTATATATTGCTATATATATTCTCTGCCAGCCGGACATTTGGCTGAGTGGGCAGCAGGAAAAACCTCTTTAAGAGGGAACAAAAACCCTGCCAGTGCATCCCATTCTGGGCTCCCAGGATCTGGTCCAAGTCGCTCCAAGTGTGGGGACACGTGGATCAAAGCCTCGTGGATCAGTTTGCCCAGGAAACTTCACAAAAAAAAAAAAAAACGTGGTGACTGACAGTACCACGGTACAATTTTTTTTTCCCTCTGGTAAACTAACAGTTTGCCATTGAACATGGCCATTGAAATAGTTGATTTACATATTAAAAATGGTGATTTTCCATAGTTCTGTTAGTTTACTAGAGGGTAACATATAAAGAACCAATCATGGTAATTACATACTTTTCTGTATAAATTCATCATCTTAGATGGCTCTAGTACGCTATTTTCATCAGCCGTGGTCAACACATGATGGTATGTATATGTATGTGTGTTATGGTCATCCCTTCCGCATTGGGAATCCCTACAATGGGCACATTTTTTTTATGTCAACCCCTATGGATTGATGGGAGCCCAATCCAACTGTTCATCGCGGCATATATGTCCGTAATGTTACATTGAAATATTGGTGGGTAGTGTTAATGCAGTTAACCATCTGTTACCACATGCCATCATGCCTAACAGCAAACAGATCGTGGCCCCGTCGACGGACACGACGACCATGGCCCCAACAGCCCCAAAGATCTGCATTTTCCTCTGGAAATTTATGGTTTATCGCCGTTTCTATCCTATAAATTTGGATTTGGGCCCAATAAATTCTACAAATATGTGATATGTGCTGACAGATGCTTCACTTGTCAATCCCATTCTAGCTGAATGCACAATCCAATCATATCCTACGATACCCATGTGGTTGTTTCCTGAGTAAGCAGCAAGCGGATTCTTGTTCATAAATGGTCAAGGAAAATGTCTACGTTCTTGATCTTGTCCTAGCGTCAACCTCATCAATTCCTTGGGGATCACCTCCAAGGTTAGGGTCCATGTCCCACATATTGCCTTCAAATGGACAACATTGTAATGTTAATCAATTTCAACCAATAATAACTGTGAAACATCAATAATAACTGGTAAATCTATTTGGAGAAACCGAATGCAATCGGTTCAAGCAACGGCCATTTTCCGGTGCGATAGCGTAGCACAGTATGGCGTAAGGCCTGTTGTTATCGGCCGAAACGCCAGCGGCAAACATGCAATCAATGTTCAGGTCATGAGTTCCTTGCCATGATCATGCAACTTCAGTTCATCTTCTTCTATTGTGGGAAGAGAACTCCTGAACACTGATACTAACACTGCTGCAGTCCTACCAAGCAGGGCATGAGGATTCTGTGCTTCCCCATACTTCTCTGCTTCACCAAGGATTCGCCATTCGGATCGGCCGTCTGCGCTGTCAAATCGGCCATACGTTGTCCTCAGGCAAAACTCTTTCGGGTCAAAACGTGCAGTCGGTGTCCTAAAGGATTTGGCCTGTTTGGCCACATTGATCACTACTCCATCCCTATGGTGCCAGCCAGGGCTACTGCTGAGCTGAGCAAGGTATGGAAAAATGGGTGACTTTTCACCAAGAAATTCCCCGCTCAGGCTCACATGCGCAGCTTCAGAATTCGCAGCAGCGCCATTTGAAGATCGCTTGCTCGTCTTCTGCTTTACAAAGTCCTCGTTGAAGACCACGCTCCATCGGCCACTCCTCAGGATGCGGTGCATGTGATCATTGTCCATGTCCTTGGTTCCACAGTCCACGAACATGTTTTCCGTCGCAGTCCAACGGAGCATAGTGTTGGGTTGGCTCAAGACATCTCTGAGCCATGCCACCGTGAAAGCCAATGACTTCTGGGCACAATATGTCGGTGTGTCTGAAGTTCCCTTGTCATAGACATCCTTCGCATCTGTCACCAGCGCCAAAGGAATAGCGCAAATTGCATCCAGTGCTCGACGCTGATTCATCGGGTAGCCCAAGAAATTTGCATAGAGGCCACGGCAGAAAATTCCAACATCTGCTGCTTCTTCTGTACCCTGCAATTCAGCTGAATACGTGGATCTGCAGACTCGTGGAAGACGATGACTCCTTGCATCTATCACAGTGAAGGATCCCTCCTTACCTGAAAGCAAGTCACGGTCTGCCAGCAAAACAAAATATGCACTCTGACTGTAAACCTTTTCAGAAATGGTGCCATCGGCTGCTCCAAGCTTGGTCACGTTGCCCAAAGAAGCATCGGTCACCACCAAAATTCCACTTCCTTCAAGGTCAAGCGGATTGAAATTCAAGGCAAAGTCTGAATGCTGCTTGAACTGCTTCAGCAACACGTTGGCCTTCATTAAGGTCTTGACCAGAGGTGCCTCTCCTTGAAGTGTAGAGAGCATAAATCCCATGTCAAAACGCAGTTGAGCAACCAACCATTGCAATGATCCCAGTACTGCTCGCAATTGACGGCGTTCAGGTTCATTCAAAGGGGAATCTGGCTGAGCACGGCGGTGTGCAGGAATGCTCACCGGCTTCAGATTCTCATGGTATTCTTTCATCGTGATTTGGATTGAACCATCTGCCAATTGCTCAATCTTCTTGCCGCAGTAGGTGAACTTGTCATAAGAAATTGATCCATAGCCCAATTCCTTGCCCAGAGAAAGCATCTTCTCCTGCGCAATCAAATCACCACCAAGCAGCAAGTCATCCACGTGGGACAGGATGATTCCATGCAGGTGCTTTCGGTCATCAGACCATAGAAGCCAGCAGGCAAAGTCCATGTGACTGCGCTCCCAACCTTGTGCAATGAGGGCTTTGTTCAATCTCAGATACCACATGCGTGGTGCAACACTCAAGCCAAAGACGCCCTTCTTCACCCGCACAAGATCTGGAAAAGGAAGTTGTGGTTCATTGGGATTGCGGACATTCTCCATGTAAAGCTCTCGATCTTCGTCAAAGAACTCGCCCTTCATAAAGGCAGACTTGATATCCGCAGCCAACAAACGCCAAGCTCGTTTTCTACCCATCTTCTTCACATTGAAGCTTGCAGTGAGAGTCAGCAAAAAGTGTTGGCTCACTCTCGATGCCGTTGGAGCATCTTTTCTCAAGGTGTAGGCCAGTAGGTCCTTAAATCCAGGGACCACAATTCTGGCTCGAGCTCGTAGTGGAAGAGGATTCGCCTTTGTTCTCAAAGGCTCATTCTTGTCGGTGAACACGTAGCGCGGAGTCAAGATTTTGTGCTTCTCGTTGTTCCTGGCCAAGCGCTGTCGGATGGCCACGCATTCATCCTTGGACAAAATGTCCACCGCATTGTTGTCAGGCCAGATCTGCCAAGCATCTTTGGCAGCTTCTGTGAAAGCCTTCTTGGCAGCCTCATCCATGGCGTTCCAAAAGAACTCCTTTCTCCCAGCCTGAACAGCAGCTATCTCATGTTCGTCAGCATGAAGTTCAACTTGGCCCTTTGGCCACATCATTCCAAGACGTTCATGTAGATGCCATTCTCCTTTGGACGGCAATGGCCAACGTCCATCCCAAGATCCATGGTCATCCACGCGGCATTCCAAGGGCTGCTGCCTGTCGATACAAGCTTGATGATAAAGGTGCACAAGAGGGTGCACATGGGGATCTCCAAGACTGGCAAGCACGTCTTCCTTGGAGACTGCATTGCAGTCGAACAACTTTCCTCCATCAGACACAGGGACTGGAGTTTCCGCTTCACCAGCTTGTAAGGATTCGGCAGACACTTCAGGTGCTCGTTTGACACCAGCAGGGTCAGCTAGTCGCTGAGCCTTTTCAATCGGTCCTTCAAGAACACTTCTTGTGGGAGCTGGCAAGCTCGATGCTCTCTTCAGTGAAATTGAAGGCAGCGCATCCCCTGAGACAATGCTGCCTCGCCTTGAAGAAACTGCTGAGGGCACTGTAGAGTCAGGAACAGGAACGGCGGCAGCTTGCATCAGAGCTCCTGCAAGTTCTTGGGGCTGTATAGGAGGCAAATCTCCTCCATGTGAAGCATCAGCTGCAACCACTCCAGGTGTTCCGGGAGCAATGGAAGGCAAGAAGGCAGGAGTGCTGGGATTGACAACAGATTGATCCGGCACCTCACCCGTTCGAAGTCCATCGTTGGGTTCCGGCGGTGCACTGGCAAATGCAGCTCCACGCAAAGTCAAATCGTGTTGAGCCGCTTCAACAACTTCATCAATTGCTTCACGCCAATTCTCAGCTGCTATTTGTTCCATTGAAGATGCCAATCTCACATGCTCCAGGGCGCATTTTGTAAGTTGCCCCTTGTAGGACATAAAGGCTGATGATGTCCCCTCCAAGGCCACTAACAATGCCGGCCCATGCCATCTTTTCAAGGTGAGCTTTTTCTTGCTGGGGTTCGTCTTGTTGTTGTATCGCAGGGGCCTGTAAAAGTAGCAAATGCTTCCAGGCTCAGGCACATTCTCAATGGTGGGATTGCGAGACATAGCCAATTCGGCTCTGCGAAGCCCTTTGGAAAAATGTAGGCGTGTGATCGCCACTTTTGCCACCTCCCTCATAGCCAATTGTCTAGCCAAAGAAGGTTTTGATTCCAGAAGCCCATGTTCAGAAAGACGTGTTTGGATTCCTCCCAGCACATCACCAACCATCCTAGGCTGTTTCCCAATAGCCGCCTGGTATGGTGAAGTTCCAAGCTCATTGATGTCGCCATTGTAGGCAGCAACACTTTCGGAAAGTGCAGACTGCATTTCTTCTGCACCGCAAACTCCTTGAGAAGCAATCACTGCAGACAGAATTGTTTTGAGGATTCCACCGCTTCTCTCAGCAACTCCGTTTTGCCAGGGAGCTTGCACTGCAATGTGATGCAAAAGAACTGAATGAGCACTCGCCCACTCTTCCATTTCCCAGCTAACAAATTCACGACCCTGATCTGCAACCATCACCCTCGGTGGGCCAAAAACAGCCAGCCATCTATCCAAAAACTTGATCACAGACTTGGTAGATTTGTCAGGCAAAACCTCGGCCAGTTGAAAACGCGTTGCAAAATCAGTGCCATGTGCAATGTAAAACCTGGTCTCCCTCACGTCCTCAACCTCAATGAGATCAACATGCAACTGATCACCCATATCTTTCGGCAAAGGCAAGGACGCAGGTCTTCTAGCTCTGGGCGGTCTCTGCTCTTGGCATACGGCGCACTTCAGTTGTTTGGCAGCCAGAATGGCCTCAGAAGGCGCTCCAGCAATTGCAAGAGCTCGCGCCAAGCGCTTCCCAGATCGATGACCTGTGTTCTGGTGCAGCCTCAAGACGGCTGCTCGGACTCCGGCTGGAATCGCAACAGTCTTGCCGTCCTTCTCGTCCGGCTCATCCACATCTGAACCATCTTCATTGCCTTGAGGATTCAAAAATCCAGCACCCTCGAAGGCCAATTCCTCCTCCGCATCATCATCAGCTCCATCCACTGCAAAGACCTCACGCACTGCAAAATCGCTATCAAATTGTCTCTCCAGGCCCCTTACCAAGGCACGAGCCAAGGGCTTCGGGTAGATGCCCGCACGGGCAGTCACCTTGGAGCCACCAAGAACTGGAGCGTGGAAATGGTCGCGCCTGCAAACATGTCCTTCCAATTCCAAGTTGACCTTTGAGCTTGATGTGGCAATGCGAGTGGGCTTCTTGTGAAGGAAGCCTTCAATGTTGCGCAGGTTGAAACGGCACTGATCAAAATTGGAAACGTAGATCTCGAACTCCTCAAGGAACTTCTGCATGGCGGGTTCACTCCAAGCGCCGCTGGGCTTGGGGTTTTCAAGAATGCAATGCCGTCCACCACGCATCTGAAGTTCAGCAACCTCAATTGCAAAGTCCATGAGAACTCGACCTTCTTGAAGTCGAACTGCATGGCGTTCAGGATGTGTTTGATTGAGCCGCTGCAACGGACTAAACGGGCCACATGGAAAAGCCAGCACCACACAGTAAGGCTTCTCTTCTCGGATCTTTTTCAACGCAGCTTCACGATGAGATGGAATGAGAAAGTTCCAGCCTGTATCAAGGCTGAGTGGATCCCCAACTTGATGGCCACGACGCACAGCTTCCTTGGTCACATTCTGAGAGGTAGTGAACACTTCCGTGAGAAATGGTTTGAGGTCATTCTTTGGAAGCTCTGCATCGTCAGGCACTAGCGCATTCTTTGAAACTTTGGCATTCTCAGGCAACTGCACATTCTTTGAAGCTTTGGCATTCTTAGGCATCAACACATTCTTTGAAACCTGGGCATTTTCCAAAACCTCGTTGGAGTCGCCAAGCGCATAGGACGAATGAGCGAGGTTCAAGGGTTGGATAAAGATCTCATCAGTCACAAAGCTCTTCATCTCATCTTCAAAATCAGCAATCAAAGCTTGGTGAATCTTGCGAGGCCCCCAGGAAGTGCGGAGACGCTCTGTTTCATGTCGATTCCAAGCTTGTGCAATCATCTGAGCTTGGCCTTTCTTGACAATTTGGTTGATGGTAAACTCATTGATCTGGCCAGGCTCTAGTCGTCGTCGCTGATCTCGATTCCCTCCATCTCCAGCTGTTGACGATCGCTGGTTCCATATTTCCTTGCCAATCTTTCCTCCGCATAAGCCTCTTGAGCATGACGCATTTCTTCCTCCGTCAGCTCCATCTCCATTGGCTCTGATTTCACATCCATGGCCGTCAGGTCGACGGAAATTGGCACTGCTCCTGAAGGAACCATGTCTCGTAGTTGCTGAAGTTCTTGCGCCATTCTTTGCATCTGATCCCACATCTCTGCTTGGCGGTCGGTGATCTGAGTCAGAGGCCTGCTTTCTGCAGACATTGATGAGGCGCTCGCATCTCGAGCTGCACTTTTGGGAATGGCCCCTTTCGGCTTGGCTGCTGACTTGACTGCCACAGGAGGCTGTGGCTTGCTCTTCAAGATTTCCACCATTGGACGGACCTTGGTCTTGATGTTGTCTACAGTGTCCTTTTCGTCCACCTCCACGTGCAGCAAGGCAGCCAGCTTCAGGAGGTCTCTTCTCAAGGTTGGCAATCCTCCTTTTGGTCCAATCAAAGTTCGGGCCTCTTGCTCTCTCTTGGCCGAAGACCCGGCCTTCTGAGCGGCATCTAACGCTTCCGCCTGAGCAGCATTCTTCAGGCGCTTTGAGAGCCCCTTGAGAGCCATCCCTTCCAACATGCCGTCCAACATTGGGTCCTCGCAAAATGCCGTCTGAAGTCCAAGGCGGTTGCGAAGATGTACACATTCTCCCAAGTTGGCCATGGTGAACAGGTTCTGGGCCAGTGCCTTCTGGAAGTGCCTTGCGGGGAACGCCTTGCCCTGCACTTGGCTCTTGCATTGTGTGATCCACTTTTCCACTGAGGCCGTGGCTGGATACGGCAAGGGCAGCCAGCGCAAGAAAGGCTTTTGCAAAACCCACAGAAGAACGCCCCTTGCGGCCCAGAGAGCCCTTTCCTTGAGGCGCATAACGAATCGGCGCCATCTTCCCACTTGCTTTCGCACTGGCTGTGCGTCCATCACTTTTCACCGTCAGAGCAGAGGATCTCGAAGGGCTGGAAGATTTCCTGGTAGGAGAGGATGTTGACGTCGGCGCCAACTTCAAAGAAGGAGAGCGCATAGTTGGTGCTTGAGCCATGCGCATTGAAGTTCCAGTCGTCATGACTGTGCATACCAAATTTCCAACTTGCAAACTCTTCTCTGTCAACATGTGGTCATGCGGAGAAACCTCATGCGCCTGTGAACCTTTCAAACGAAAAAATTGAGACAGCCACTGCTTTGCACTCATCTGCAGCTCAACGACTTGATCTGGACCTAGTTTCCTCCATCTGTGATCCCCCACCGCAGGCCAGCTTGAAGGCACCAAGGGCAAAAGGTAATGACCTGCAGAAAGTTGTCTGAGTGCAATGGGATGCCCATCCAAATGTTCACAACGCATCTCACGACGCAAAAATGAAATATCAGCTCCAACTGCTTCCAAAAAATCTCTTCCAAGTAAAAGTCCAAGAGAAGGTACATCTACCAGAGAAACCCAGAAGCAAATGACTTGGCCCCCGATGACGGTTGGCAGTCGCCATCGTTCCAGCGAGATCTTCGTCCCACCGTTGCCAAACCTGAACGTTTCATGCTCAGTCTGAGATTTCACCAAATTTTGAACATCACTGGGAGCACTTCTAAGACATTGCAAGTAGCCACGAAGCCAGTCTGGTCCCGTGCATGTGCGATTGCAAGCTGAATCGAGTGCTCCAACCAATCTTTTGTCAGCAGTGAGGCCAACGACAGCCACGTCCACCTCTTTGGGCTTGGTGTGAGACGCCTCCAAAGCCACAGCCAAGGAATGAGACAAAGGTCGCACAGCCACCGTCAAGATTTCATGAGCTCCATCTTCAACTGCAGTTTCATCCACCAGGTGCTCTGTATTCATGGTTTCAGCGATCTGGACCTGTTTCGGCTTTCGACCAAGTTTCATGCCAGGCCTTTTGCATTCAGCGTCTCCTGCCCAGTGTCCTGCCAAGCCGCAATCGAAACAATTGCTTTTCTGCTTCTTGGACTGGTGGTCCTTTCTCTTTCCATCGGCAGGTGCTGTACGGCCGTAACCACGGTCACGACGAACCTCTGCAAGCTTCGTACGAGCTTCTTTCATAGTGACAAGGGCTTCGGCTGCTGTTTCAACCGTGTTTTCTACCTCAGCAAGGGTATCTGGGTCTACCCCCAGCTCAGCAGCATCGTCAAGTTCAGCAGCAAGGGCTTCAGCCTCACATTTCAAAACCTCTTCAAGATCTTGGCCACCCGCATCATCATCTCCATCCGCTTCATCCTGAGGGTCATCAGCAACCTCAGGGTCTTCGGCCTCAGAAACCATCACATGCTTCTGACCAGGTGCAAACTTCCGAAACGGTTGCACAGATCTTTGGGACGTTGCAGATGATGCGGAAGACCTGAATGTCCTCTGAGCAGAGCTAGCTGTAGAAGGTGCATATGAAGGAGGTCTGCTGCCAGTTGCAGTTTGATTCAGAAAACGGTTCAGCAAGGGAGACCTTTGACCAGTCTCAGCCATTCCAGTCTTTCGCATGAGGGGGTCTTGGAAATGAAGGTCCTTGAATAACCTCAGCACCTCACGCTCCGTCTCTTCATAGCCCTCAGCTCCAGCCAATGCCGTTTCCAACAACTGCAACCTGAGAGAGTCAAGGCCAAGCTTCTGCTTGTAAAACCATCCAATCTCACCAGTGGGCAGCGTGACACCTTCGGCACGCAAGTCTGCCAGCATAGTCCTAAAACGTGTGCTGAACTCTGAAATTCTTTCACCTCCACGACGCTTCAAGTCAATGTAGAAAAGGTTGCGCATTTCTCCACGCTTGTCCAAGGTTGTGCGTCCATTGATGCCCTCAAGAGCTTTCATCAGCTTCTTCACACCTGATAGTGGGTCTTCAGGTGTTATCACAATCTCACCTTGTCCATCTACTGGGTCTGGTCCCCTGACTTCTTTCTGGTAAGCCAGCTCGTCAGGGGTGAACTCTTCTCCTCCCTGTCTCACCACACCGCTTTGGCGTAAAAGCCATCTAGCAGCCAGGTTGTACTTCTTCGTTGATTCAAGGTCCAAAGCGGACTGCCACCACATCATCTCTCTCTGGAAACTTCGCCAGGTCTGAGGTGACCCGTCCCACGTCGGAACCTTGCTCCAAGCTCCACCATTTTGGTCTTTCTCCTCGGACATCTTGCCTTAGACAGGGTCGAAGGAGTCCTCCGCAATCTCGGAGATGAAACACGAATTGCAAAAAGGGTCGCAAAAAGGTTTGAATTCGTCCCCCAATCCACACAGTCGGAGACGCTTGCCAGCCAACAATGAAAATCAGGAGAAGGATCGTATCTTAGCTCTTTGGGATCGTTGCAAGGAGGTCCGCAAGGATCACCGGTCACAATCACAAGAACCTAGACAAAATCCACCGTGCAAAACCCAAAAGCAGCAGCTGGAGCGGCGCAGTGCTGGATCAGGCAGGCTCCGGTGCCACTGAAGAAACCGAATGCAATCGGTTCAAGCAACGGCCATTTTCCGGTGCGATAGCGTAGCACAGTATGGCGTAAGGCCTGTTGTTATCGGCCGAAACGCCAGCGGCAAACATGCAATCAATGTTCAGGTCATGAGTTCCTTGCCATGATCATGCAACTTCACTATTAACAAACTACCCCCAAGTCTAAGTGGAACATCAATTTGACCACCAGGTGGTTTTTGAACCATCCCCAACAAGGGTTGATTGTTGGGACCATCATCTATTCTTGTTGGTGATATATCCATTATCAACAATTATTCACCATTATTCACCATTATTAACAATTATTCACCATGATCAACCATTCTTAACCAGTATTAACAAATATTAACCATTATTAACCATTACTCACCATGATTAACCATTATTAACAATTATTAACAATTATTCACCATTACTAACCATTATTCACCATGATTATCCATTATCAGCCATTATTAACTATTATTAACCATTATTTGCCATTATTAACAATAATTCATCATTATTCACCATTATTAACCACTACTAACCAGTACTAACCCACATAAAGGCCATGTTTTGTTCCCTTCGCATGGCCCTGAACGCTCATCCAGGTCGCACTACTGCCATCCCCGCCATTGTTCTCAAAGCGCACCTAGGGCCATGCTGATGGCTACCCTAAACGGTGTCATCAAACGTAGCAACGAGAAATCTCCCTCATCAAAATGGAAAAACAGTTTTAGAAGTAACTAAAGGTTTTGTTTTTCCACTTCTTCGCTTTTACAATTTTAGGTTGATCAATTTTGCCGTGTCAATGGTTTTGAGATATTTGCGTGCGTCCAAATTCATGGGCCGAATTGGGCTCGGGAGATCCGCTGAAAGGTCACTGGCCATGCCCGTGCCCTCCACAGTGTGAAGATATTCCTTCGTTCCAAATCTTCCCGTCGCCAATCTTCAAATGGTGTTGTCAAAAAATTGGAATACCCAAATCCATGAAAATCCTAGAATCAATGATCAATGATAAATGGTACATATCATATCATATCATATCATATCATACCATCATACCATCATACCATCATACCATCATACCATCATACCATCATACCATCATACCATCATACCATCATACCATCGTACCATCATACCATCATACCATCATACCATCATACATCATACATCATACATCATACATCATACATCATACATCATACATCATCATCATCATCATCATCATCAATCATCATCATCATCATCATCATCATCATCATCATCATACATCATACAGCATACATCATACATCATACATCATACATCATACATCAGCATCGTCGTCATCATCATCATCATCATGATGTTCATGTTTCCCATGGTTCAGCCATAATTTGGCATATCCCCAGCAAATCAGTTGGTGAAACCAAGCGACCGAGACATTACCTCGGCGGAGTGGTGCCAATCTCAAGAATCACTGATGTGGACAGTGGCCAAACATATCAACATGATGCGAAGATATGCGAATTCCCATAAGTTCTAATGAACATTCACATCACAATGTGATCCTTCAATCCACATATGTATATTTATATAATTATATATGTATTAAATGGAAATTTCAAAACTTTCATGAAATTGTCCCACCTTTAGCTCGCGAATCCCTGCGCTGGCTTGCGGCCATCACCACAGTGCCTAGAGTTTACAGAAGGGCGAGTTGGGAGTGTTTACAACTTTCCTGAGTCATTCAGCATATAAAATATAAAATGTATCATCACCTAGTTTTCATCAGTAAAAAACGACATATTTAGAGCTAAGGTTTGTCCTACAGTACGCTGACCTTGATGGATTTCTCATTCTAATTTTTGATGCTGAACATGAGTCAAATCCGCAGGGTTGTGCTTACGTCACCAGACAAACAGTGATATGGATTGATATGGGGTCAAAACCCTGCTACCCCAGACATGTAAACACCATGAAATAACTGGTATGTTCATCCACATCCGCATATGGCATCATATGCCTTAAAATTCAAGCATCGGGACATACCACACCAAGCCTGCAATGAGTGGATCAACCAGTCCGGTCCATCATGCACAGTGGCTGAGCAAATCGAAGCTCTCCGGGTTCTCCATCCTCCGACGGGTACATCGGTTCAAACCAGTGGTTGATCCCACAAGAGAACTGGTCAAACATCAACCAACTGAACTGCGCGCAGAACCAACTGACCAACAAAACCCTTGGGCAGCAAAACGTTGGCGCTGAGCTTCTGAAGCTGCTCAGCGATGTAGAAGCCATCTACCAAATAATTCAGGACCTCGAAGCAACAAGGCTGGCCATAATAGCCCCAAAATATTCCAAAATGATAGTAAAAGTACTCAAGATTGTGGGGGTAAGACCGCCATTCTTATGGCTACTTGGAGGGTCCAGGTACACATCAATTTGGGGAAACGTTGAAACTATAGTTCATTTGCACGCCTGGTGTGCAGCTTTTGTTGAAGGGCAACCAAAACGGAATCTGCAACAACAGGTCCAAGTCCACAATACCTTTGGGAAGCTTGCAAAGTCTGCACATCTATTGTGTATCCTTATGTATCCCCACTACTGTACCTATGCCACAATTTTGCTTGATTCTTGGTGAGTAAAATCCCTGTTTTGGTTGGTTACAGTAAATCTCTACTATATTCTATATTCCCTATATATAATTCTGCATAGCTCAGCCAAGGTGCAGAGCAAGTCTCGCAAGGGACCTGGATCATAAAAAGGTGGGCTTGTTTTCGGTTTGGCTTTACAAAAGCCATGGAACTATATAGTTCAATATATCCACATACTTCCACATACAGTATATCCACTATCCATCCGAATTATCATGAATGAATTATCATGAATTATCCCACTTGTTATCCCACTTACCACTTAGCTACCACCATCTTGTTGGTGATCCGGACAATTTCACAGTGGGGTCATCCTGCTTCGGGGATGGAAGTTATGGGACAAACATATTGCGCAAACGAGTGTGCTGTGTGCGTCCGAAAATCGACATACCCAATAAATAGCAGTTTAATAATATGTTTTAATGATGAACATTATCATGAATCATTGTTTTTTTGTGGGGTTCCCAACATGTTCAGACAAATTCAACATGATGATCCTCTAAGAACAAATCAAATTGCGGTCAAACCCCTACGGTCTCATTCAAAAGCCGTCTAAAAATGACAGGGATGTTCCACTTGCAGAGGTAGCTGATGCGTACCTCCCTTCATACGATGGCAGTAAAGACCTTGTCATAGTACATATCGCCAGTTTGAGTTGTACGTATACATACAGTATGCATAGAACTGTATACATACCATGTGCACATAATACATAGGCCTCAAGGTCCCCTCAAAAAAAAAAACTAGCCTATACTACAACAATATTGTTGTTTCTTTACGTTTCGATCTTTCTGCGGCTATGGTCATTCAGCTAAATCACATGCTTCCACAGTCAAAAGTATTTGTTGGAAGGTAACATCTGAAATACCCTGCCGATGATTGGATGGTAAAATGATAGAACCATAGTTCTCTGATTGTTTCGCCTTGGTTTCAATCAAAAACTGATCAACCCAGGAAACGGCACCTAACCGGATATACCCAGATTTTGGCCGTAGATCACACCTCCTTGTCGCAGCTGCAGTGTTCCAGGGCATGCAAGAGCTGGAAATCCTAAGCCGAGCTATGGCCGAAGTGGCTGGGAGCCTGGGAGCCTGGGAGCCTGGTACCAACAACACAACAGCTTGTAAACCATGATAACGATGATAATTTGGATGTTGATTCCCCCAAGATGGTGAGATAGGTTCCACATGGTTAGGTCACATTGGTTCGGTCCGAAGCCATACCAAAAAAGATCCAAAAATAGATGTAGCAATGTAGACATAACATAACTTAACTCTTGAAAAAAGAGACAAAACTCTGTCTCTGGCTGGAAGATTTTGACCTACAAGATGTTTGCAATTGGTATTTTCAGCTGATAGGAGATCATTTCATAACATTTCAAGAGCAAGTCGGCAAGTGCTGTAAAAAAGGTAAACCCCATGACAAACACAATGTTTTTTCATTTTTTTCACGTGTTGTTTTAGAAGGCCATCAATCCTCCACATTCAAAACGCTATGCATCATGGCCTCACCAGCACCGAATAGCCTTCGAGGCACTGGTGTGGGATCACGGTAGGGGTTGTCCGTGTGGAATCCGATGGCCCTGGGCGTGTACGCCAAATCTCGCCTGAGCGAGGCATTTCCATATGGGAACATCATATAGTCTATACCAGAAAAGATAAAAAGTTTATAATCAGTTGCCATAAATTACCACTGCTTCAATGACTTTTCAGTGGTATTTACCACTTTTTGGCCATAAAAAATCCCATAAATATCCATAAATCATGATTGACAGTGGGATTTCCCTTTACAACAAGGGATGACCGTGATCTGGACCAAGCAGCTTGGCCGCTCCCAAGGCAGCATCCGGCTTCCTAGGGAACTTGGGATGATTTCAGGGATGGGTTTTTGGAGGTTTACTTTGGGATGGTCAGATTTGGGGATAATCTGGGAATAGTTCCCTATGAATGATAGTTTCGTCATTCTTATGGAATCTATGTGTGTATATTATATTATATATATATATCACATTCTAGTATATGATGTTATACTATATGATATGATATTACATGATATGATACTATATAATATGTTGTTTACACATATATATATATATAAGTTATAAGTATATTTGGCGGTGATAGGTTTGTGTCTGTATGTCACGAATTGCCGGATTTCAACACATTGGCCTTGGCCCCGAGTCAGGAAGCCATGATAAGCCATGGCCATCCCATGGCTCCCCATCTGACAAGCCACGTACGGACGTTGAAGAAGGGACCCCATTCAGTTTGACGCAAGGTGCTCAAGTTCTTACCGAATTCGATGACGATCCCGTGCTCCTGGAAACAGCAGCATATGTTTGTATGTATATATATATATTGTAATTTATAATAATTATACATATATATATATATATATAGTAATAATGAAACTAATTATATATATATATACATGAGTATGTATATATGTATATATTTATATTCGAAACCAGTTACTGTATCAGTCTGTCCGAACAGGGTGGGATCTGTGTGACTTAGATTTTGACCCATCCCGGATTGGTGCGGCTGGCAGCCTCCTGGCATCCTTCTTCCACTGGGAACATCCCGCAAACATGTCACCAAAAGCATCCCTAAAACGAGTATATGAGTAAATGAGCACCATCAAGTTTTGAGAATCATTCTCTATACATGTAATTTAATAGTAAAAGATAACACTACTGAAAAAAAAACATTTCTTCGACCTCTCCATGCTGCGCATCCGTCTCCCTGCCGTCTCCTTTGGCACATCCTGCACCAAAGCAGCTCCCAGAATCAGCAAGTCGCTGGTCAGCTGCAAGCGGGTCTCCTGTAGGCTGGGAAGCAGTGAATTGCTTGATTTAATGGAAGATTCATAGGATATTAATTCATTAATGGGATAAATATGGATAAATGGAGGTTTAATGAAATTTAATGGGATATGATTGAAATATACAGTACCTTCTGGTAATCAAACACGGCCATGGAAAATCGACCATTCGTAGTGGATTTCCATTGCCAGGATGACCAGAGGGTGAAGCCACGCCGCCAGCACAGTGATGTGGGAGCAACCCACAAAATGAGATGTTTGCTTTTAGAATACGCAATGATCTGATTTTTGTTGGGGCCCATGATTTTGTTTTTGAGCCATGGGCATCATGGGCATATTAGTCAAATTGACCGACTTGGTGCATTTGTCCTCTGCCCTAGCGGACCTATACGGAATACATCGGCCCGATGTGATCAGTAGTGGCCCCTCGCATTCTCCCCTGAATGACGGGATGATGGCTTTCAAAGATTCTGAAGGCAATGATGTTCACACAACTGCCAAGTACATTTTTTCTCACTATATGTTCATTATCTTGGTTATGTTGGAGGATGTCAAAGGTAGACCTGACTTTTTCTTGGTAAAAAAAAATAGAACCCTTGCGATACCATGGCCACATGGAAGGGATCTATCCGTCTTCTGGAGCCTCGTTGTTCAGAACCTGGGAGTAGTCGTAGTTGTTCAGCTTGAGATCTGTCCAGAGGAAAGTTTAAGGCGAACTTGACCAAATGACGTGTATTTTTCTGGGTCACAACCTCTCCCCTGGTCATTTGGGTTCCACCTATATATAAATGATCATAAATGTAAAAACCAGCACGATCTGCAAAGCCAAAGCGACTGAGTTGTCTGCATCTGTATCACGCTCAATCATTTACCGTACTTGTCTTTAGCGGTAGATGCGCAAGTTGATCCAAGTTGTAAAGGTCTAGACCTGCTCAAACGGCGCAATAGGGATAGACTAGCAATTGTCTGACCCGACAAATGGTCATATAGCTATAATTAGTCAAGTGGGATCATTGTCATGGATTTAAGGATCCGAAATAAATGTTTGAAATCACATGAAATCACCAGATTTTAGTAGACATCCAGCGCAGTCCTCATTTCTGTTGCATATGTGTGCTAATCTTGGTCAAAACGTTGACATCAGGTCCTACAAGTTGACGACCCTTCTCAGCAACAAATTGGAGATGGGAAAACGACGATGAACATGGTGCTTCAACGGCTCAACATGGCTCAACAAACCGTTTACTGAGAGTAACTGGTGATCGAAACAACAGACATGGGGGATCTAACCATCCAAAATGCTGACCAAGATGTGGACTTCATCAGCCAGTTTTTGGTGACATAAAAAACCCACCCATTTCATGGCGATCCAAGCCTCAGCAAATGTGGGTGATTCCCCGAGTATTGTTACTTGGCTTAGATGTTTAGTTTCACTCCATTATATAACTAACTAAAATTAGATGATACAGTTATAATCATTTAATAATCATTTAATATTATTTATATACCATAGAAGTCACCTATAGCTATAAAGCAAGAACTTCGTGAAGGAACTGGGGCACCACTGGCACCACCTTGGAGAGGCCACCGCGCCTCCCGACCATACCACCGGCTTTGGGCGTTTGTAGGCCAAGGGCTGAATAGGGTTGTGCCTCATGGTGGCGCGGCAACTCACACGTGGTTTTCGCAACTCGCAAACCAAAAAAAAAATGATAGAATTTAAGGTGAAATCCTACTAAAGTGGTGCCAAATCACTCTTCTATCGTTTTTGATCGTTAATTTTGGGGGTTACTGTACTATGTATGCTATACCAACAAGGCTTATTTCAGCTGATAAATGGAACCATGCATCAGTTGCAACAGCTGAGTTTTAAAATTTGTAGATGCAACATGATGGAACATGATGGAACTATGTCGAACCTGCTAAAACTGACACGGATTAGTTGTGAATGGGACAGTTATCAGCTACTCAAAAAGTGGGACGGTCTACTGCGGCCTTCCCAAGATTGCCAACATCTTGAAAATCGGTGTTCGACTTGACCCATGTCCACACGAGTCTCGCCCCACCTGTGATCCTTGACTCTTGACAGTATTGCCTCGAAATCTACCCTCCAATCCACATCAATTCTCGGCTTCTCGGATCCTGGTCAACATCACAAAAAATGAAGGGGCTAAATGATGTTGGGATTTCCAGCCGCCCATGTTCCCGGTCTTGTAGATTCTTGTAGTCCCTCTTTCCGAAGAATCAGCCAACTTGCATGACTGGTCACTGCCAAATCTATACCAAGGAGCCTGAAATCTGAGAGTTCCTCCGGCTAAGGTGCGTGGTGTGTCTGAAAATGGGGTGGGATGTAAAATCGCAATTTACTTTTAGCTGCCAAAATTTGTGATAAACCATCAGAATTTGGGATGCTTTATTTTCATATGTGTTCAAACAAACCCATATTACCTCATGAAAAAGATCTGTCAAATGTGTGGGGACTTTCCTTGGCTATGATCTGATATGTTTGTACACCATGAAATTCAGCTGTCCAAGGAAAAACAACCGCTGGGGTATTCTGAGGTTCGAAACATAACATGGACAGTGCTGCAGTTGCACAATCTCAAATACTGAAAAGCTGAGATCCGCTCGTTCATCTATGAATCGTCGATGCTTAAGAAACAACATGTTTTATTTCATTTTGTTTCATCATATTTCATCTGGAAAATCAAGATCTTGAAATGGGCTACCTCTACATAACAGCTCACTTCCTTTACTTCTCCATGGCCAAATCCTGACAAACATCATGCCATCTGCAGCTCCATGGCTAAAGGCTGATGTGGCCATTGAATCAAAACCATGAGATCCATTGATTTCATTTCAGGGTGCTGATTGGGTTCTCCGAGCGAAATATGGGAAAGGCATCATAGGTAGCCTGACCACGCCTGACCCATATTGGAGTGAGGATGAATCTCCAGTGCTTTTCATTGTCAGGTGCCCAACACGCAGCGTTTTTGAACGCTCTGTCTGTTGGTCTTGTGGGCTTGATCGCCCCCTTTGGGTTTATGGCGTCTTAACTACTTCACTTCGGTGAGGAGCAGGTTGACGTCCGTTAACACCAACAACAACTCCACCTACCCTCTGGTAAACTAACATAACTATGGAAAATCACCATTTTTAATGGGAAAACTCACTATAAATGGCCATGTTCAATAGCTATGTTAAATTACCAGAGGGTATATCCAGCGATTTTGGTGTATCTTTTGAGCCACAGCCCCCAACCAATAGTCGAGGCTGAGCCATGGCCAAGCCTGTAGGATTCTATAGCCTATATGGGGGACCGTCGGTCATTGATCCATCACAAAGGATTTATATACCTATGAATCTATGAAATATAATAACTTCTATCCCATTTATCCCATGATTCCCACGGCATGGATGACAATAGTTTTTTCATCATCCCATGAAACTTGACCACCCATCATATCCTTGTCTAATGGTGGTATGCTCTAAACAACCCATCATATCGTTATTTCCTGCATATATGTAGAATCATATACGTGTATATATATATATATTTATTTATTTACATACACACCCTATATATCCCCATCTCAGCTTATGGTGGTGTTGGCGCCAGCCGGCTACGCCGCTCCTTCACCAGGGCTTCCACTTTGTACTCTGAGGTATGTCCATCCGTAAAGGCCACCTGAGGCGACAAACGTGAGGTGGATTCGAGCAGGAAAAATGGTGATATTATCATAATGTATAAATATGTAATGTAATGTAGTGTCTTGTAATGTAGTGTCATCGAATGTAATGTAGTGTAATGTAATGTAGCGTATTGTAATGTAATGTAATGTAGTGTAAGAGAGGGTAATTTAATGTGAGGTACTGTATTGCAATGTAATGCAGTGTGGTGTAATGTAGTGTAGTGCAATGTAATGCAGTGTGATGTAATGTAATGTAATGTAACGTAGTGTAGTGTAATGTATTGTAATGTAGTGTAGCTTATTGTAATGTAATGTAATGTAGTGTATTGTAATGTAATGTAGTGTAATGTAATGTTATGTAATGTAATGTAGCGTGTTGTAATGTAATGTAATGTAGCGTAATGTATTGTAATTTAATGTGAGATAATGTATTGTAATGTAATGTAGTGTGGTGTAATGTAGTGTAGTGTAATGTAATGTACTGTGATGTATTGTAATGTAATGTAGTGTAGTGTATGTATTGTAATGTAGTGTAGCATATTGTAATGTAATGTAGTGTATTGCAATGTAATGTAATGTAGTGTAATGTATTGTAATGTAATGTAGTGCAATATAATGCAATGTTGTGTACTGTCCTGTAATGTATTGCAATGTAATGTAGTCTAGTGTAATGTATTGTAATGCAATGTAATGTAATGTATGTAGTGTAATCTACTGTACTGTAATGTAGGGTATTGTAATGTAATGTAATGTAGTCTAATGTAATGTAATGTAGTGTAATGTATTGTAATGTAATGTAGCGGAATGTAATGTAATGTAGTGTAATGTAACGTAATGTTTTGTAATGTAATGTAATGTAATGTAATGTAATGTAATGTGGTGTACTGTAGCGTATTGCAAATTGAAATGTAATGTAGCGTAATGTAATGTAGTGTAATCTATTGTATTTTAATGTAGGGTATTGTAATGTAATGTAATGTAGTGTAATGTAATGTAGTGTAGTGTAATGTATTGTAAAGTAATGTATTGTAAAGTAATGTAGTGTAATGTAATGTAGTGTATTCTATTGTATTGCAATGTAGGGTTTTGTAATGTAGTGTAATGTAATGTAATGTAGTGTAATGTACTGTAAAGTAATGTAGCGTAATGTATATGTAGTGTAATGTATTGTAAAGTAATGTAGCGTAATGTAATGTAATGTAGTGTATTGTAGTGTAATGCAATGTAGTGTAGTGTTCTGTAATTTAGTGTAGTGTAATGTAATGTAGTGTAGTGTAATGTAGTGTAATAGAATGTAATGTAGTGTAATGTAATGTAGTATAGTGTAATGTAGTGTAGTCTAATGTATTGTAATGTAATGTACTCGAATATAATTTACTGTAATCGAATGTGATGTAGTGTAGTGTAATGTGATTCAGTGTAAAAGAATGTAATGTATTGTAATGTAATGAACTGTAGTGTAATGTAATGTAGTGTAATGTAATGTGGTGTAGTCCACGGCAATGTAATGTGGTGTAATGTAACATTATAAAACGTAATGTAATGTAGCATATTATAATGTAATGTAATGTAGTGTATTGTAATGTAGTGTAATGTAGTGTAATGTAGTGTAGTGCAGTAGAATGTAGTGTAGTGTGATGTAATGTAGTGTAGTGTAATGTAATGTGGTCTGATGTATTGCAATGAAATGTAGTGTCATGTAATTTACTGTAATAAAAAGTGATGTAGTTTAATGTAATGTAGTGTAGTGTAATGTATTTTAGAGTAATAGAATGTAATGTATTGTAATGTAATGGAGTGTAGTGTAATGTAATGTAGTGTAGTCCAATGCAATGTAATGTGGTGTAATGTAATGTTATAAAATGTAATATAATGTAGCATATTGTAATGTAATGTAATGTAGTGTATTGTGATGTAGTGTAATGTAGTGTAGTTCAAAAGAATGTAATGTAGTGTAATGTAATGTAGTGTAGTGTAATGTAATGTAGTGTAATCTAATGTAATGTAATGTAGTGTAATGTAATGTTATGTCATGTAGTGTAATGTAGTGTGTTGTAATGTAATGTAGCGTATTGTAATGTAATGTAATGTTGTCTAATGTAATGTTGTGTAGTCTAATGTAATGTAATGTAATGTAGTGTAATGTATTGTAATGTAATGTAGTGTAGTGTAGCGTATTTCAAATTGAAATGTAATGTAGCGTAATTTAATGTAATGTAGTGTAATCTATTGTATTGTAATGTAGGGTATTGTAATGTAATGTAATGTAGTGTAATGTATTGTAATGTAGTGTAGTGTAATGTAATGTAAAGTAATGCAGCGTAATGTAATGTAATGTAATGTAGTGGAATCTATTGTATTGTAATGTAGGGTATTGTAATGTAATGTAGTGTAATGTAATGTAGTGTAATGTATTGTAATGTAATGTAGCGTAATGTAATGTTCTGTAGTGTAATGTATTGTAATGTAATGTAGTGTAATGTAGTGTATTGTAATGTAATGTAGTGTAAGAGAATGTAATGTATTGTAATAGAATGTAATGTAGTGTAATGTAATGTAGTGTAATGTAGTGTAATGTAGTGTAGTGCAATGTAGTGTAATGTAATGCAATTTTATGTTATGTAGTGTCGTGTAATGTAATGTTATGTAATGTAGTATAGTGTATTGCAATGTAATGTAATGCAGTCTATTGTAATGTAATGTAGTTCAATGTATAGTAATGTAATGTAGTGTAGTGTAATCTGGTTTAATGTAGTGTAGTGTAGTGTAATGCAGTTCAGTGTAGTGTAGTGTAATGTAGTGTGATGTAATGTAATATAGTGTAATGTATTGTAATGTCATGTAATGTAGTGAAATGTAGTTTAGTATTATGTAGTGTACTGTAATGTAATGTAGTGCAGTGTAGTGTAATGTAATGTAGTGCAATGTAATGTAATGTAGAGCAGTCTAATGTAATGTAATGTAATATAATGTAATGAAGTGTAATGTAATGTTATGTAATGTAGTGTAGTGTAATGTAATGTTATGTAATGTAGTGTAATGTCGGCAGTGTAGTGTAATGTAGTGTAGTGTAATGTAACATAGTGTAATGTAATGTAATCTAATGTAATGTATTGTAGTGTAATGTATTGTAAAGTAAGGTAGCGTAAAGTAATGTAATGTAGTGTAATGTATTGTAGTGTAATGCAGTGTAGTGTAATGTAGTGTAGTGTACTGTAGTGTAATAGAATGTAATGTAGTGTAATGTAATGTAGTGCAATGCAGATTAAAGTAGTGTAGTGTAGTGTATTGTAATGTTATGGAGTGTCATGTAATGTAATGTAATTTAGTTTGATTTAATGTAAAGTACTGTAGTTTATTGGAATGTAATGTAATGTAGTGTAGCGTAACGTAATGTAATGTAGTGTAATGTAATGTTGTGTAATGTAGTGTAGGGTCATGTAATGTAATGTAAGGTAGTGTAGTGTAATGTAATGTAGTGTAGTGTAATGTAATGTAGTGTAGTGTAATGTAATGTAGTGTAGTGTAATGTAATGTAACTTTTTGTAATGTTATGTACTGTTTTGTAATGTTATGTAATGTTAGGCAATGTAATGTAGTGTAGTTTTATGTAATGCATGCAATGTGGTGTAGTGTGATGTAATGTAACGTAGTGTAGTGTAATGTATTGTAAAGTAATGTAGCGTAATGTAATGTAATGTAATGTAGTGTAATCTTTTGTATTGTAATGTAGGGTATTGTAATGTAATGTAGTGTAATGTAATGTACTGTAGTTAAATGTATTGTAGTGTAATGTAGTGTAGCAAAGTGTAATGCAGTGTAGTGTAATGTAATGTAGTGTAGTGTAGTCTAATGTAATATCATGTAGTGTATTTGAATGTAATGTAGTGTCAAGTAATGTAGTGTAGTGTAATGTAATGTAGTGTAGTCTAATGTAATGTAATGTATATACTTTAGTGTAATGTAATGTAATCTAATGGAATGTAGTGTAGTGCAATGTAATGTAATATATTGTAGTGTAACGTAATGTACTGTAGAGTAATGTAATGTATTGTAGTGTAATGAAATGTTATGTAATGTACTGTAGTGTAATGTAATGTGGTCTAATGTAATGTAGTGTAGTGTAATGCAGTGTAGTGTAGTGTAATGTGATGTAATGTAGTGTAGTGTAATGCAATGCGGTGCAGCGTAGTGTAATGTAATGTAGTGTAGTGTAATGTAATGTAGTGTAGTGTAATATAATGTAGGGTAGTGTACTGTAATGTAGTGAAGTGTACTGTTATGTAGTGTAGTGTAATGTATTGTAATGTAATGCAATGTAGTGTAATGTTATGTACTGTTATGTAATGTTATGTAATGTTGTGTAAAGATATGCAATAATATCTAATGTTTTCTAATGTTATGTAATGTTATGGTATGTAATATAATGCAATGTTATGATATGTAATGGTATATAATAAAATGTAGTGCAGTCTAATGTAATGTAATGTAATGAAATGTAATGAAATGTAATGAAATGTAATGTAATGTAATGTGTAATGTAATGTAATGTGTAATGTAATGTAATGTAGTGTAGTGTAATGGAAGGTACTGTAATGAAATGTACTGCAGTGTAGTCTAATGTAAAGTAGTGTAGTGTAATGTAATGTTGTGTAATGTAGTGTAGTGTAGTGTATTTATTTATAATGTAGTGTAGTGTAATGTAATTCAACGTAGTGAAATGAAATGTAATGTAGTGTAGTGTATTGAAACGTAATGTAGTTTACTGTAATGGAATGTAGTGTAGTGAAATGTAATGTAATATAGTGTAGTGTAATGTAATGTACTGTAGTGTAATGTAATGTGGTCTAATGTAATGTAGTGTAGTGTAATGCAGTGTAGTGTAGTGTAATGTGATGTAATGTAGTGTAGTGTAATGCAATGTGGTGCAGCGTAGTGTAATGTAGTGTAGTGTACTGTAATGTAGTGTAGTGTAATGTAGGGTAGTGTACTGTAATGTAGTGAAGTGTACTGTAATGTAGTGTAGTGTAATGTATTGCAGTGTAGTCTAATGTATTGTAACGTAATGCAATGTAGTGTAATGTTATGTACTGTTATGTAATGTTATGTAATGTTGTGTAATGATATGCAATGTTATCCAATGTTATCTAATGTTATGTAATGTTATGTAATGCTTTCTAATGTTCTGTATTGGTATGGTATGTAATATTGTGTAATGTTATGGTATGTAATGTTATATAATGTAATGTAGTGTAGTCTAATGTAATGTAGTGTAGTCTAATGTAATGTAATGTAATGTGTAATGTGTAATGTGTAATGTAATGTGTAATGTAATGTGAAATGTAATGTGTAATGTAATGTAGTGTAATGTAATGTAACGTGGTGTAATGTTATGTAATGCTAGGTAATGTTATGTAATGTTATGTAATGTTATGTAATGCTATGTAATGTTGTGTAATGCTATGTAATGTTATGTAATGTTATGTAATGTTATGTAATGTTATGTAATGTTATGAAATGTTATGTAATGTAATCTATTGTAATCTAATGTAATCTAATGTAACCTAATGTAATCTAATGGAATCTAATGTAATCTAACGTAGTGCAGTGTAGTGTAACGTAATGCAATGTATGTGTATGTGTATAGATTTAAATATAATTATAAATATAAATTTCTGAAAATTATGTATACCCCACAATCAATCATATAGCTATGTCTATGTCATAGTGGAAAATTATGATACACTATCGAAATTCGAGGACCCTATCACACATACTTAGATGGGTCAGACTGTGTTTTTGACATGTTAAACAAAATGCTTAAACACATAAGTAGCAGGGCTTTGTAAATGTCCTAATTGAACATCACCCAAATACTGGGGATATAATCTCCAACAGATACTTGAAAGTGATGTTCAAAATCCCCAAAATGGGACATTAACCAAACCCTGAATAAACAGGCGTTAAGATCACTTAAGGGCACCAAGTTCACCTCCGACCTGCATGGTGTTGTTGTCCAAAATGCTGGCATTTTGGAAGGACATATCCTGAGTTGATCATGGCGCCACGCCATTTTTTTTTCCGTATCCTGGACGTTCCTGTATATGAATGATTGTCAGCCGGTAAACCCTGGAATCTCCTGGTCTTTATCACAAAATTGTGGCAAATGGATGATTTCATCCCAGAAGATATCACTGTTTTTTTTTGCCCTTTTTATTCCATTCAAAGGCTTAGAGCCACGGGAGATGCCATCAAACAGCACCTCAAGGGTGTGATTTTGTGCCACATTTTGGTCCAATGTTTGCTGCCTCCACAGGCCAGCGTGACTGAAGCCATTTGCAGCCAAATTGCCAAAGGAATTTCATGGGGATTCCACAAAGGCTGCAAGGTTATGGAATCCACCTTAGCAGATTGTCTACTGGTTTCACCTGAAATAATATACTGTACTGGTCAATATGGGAAGATCAAAGGATGGAAAACAGGTGAAAAACCAGAACAAGTGTTTTGTCTGGTATCTTGCTATTGGCCAAAGAGCAATGTTGGGCAAGCCATCCAAGAAAATGTCAAAAAAACACAGCAACATTAAGTTGTTTGGGGTATGTATTGGTGATAGAAGGCGCAAAAACATCTAAACATGAATATGGCACCTGCTTTAGCGGTTGAAATCTCTACATCCTGAGAATTCTGAACTCATGTTGGTATGCATCAAGATTCATTCCACCAGCAAATTAACCAATCTTGGGTTTAAATCCACCATGTTTGGATGCACTATTGCTGGTGGCATGCCCTTGTTTGGGTGGGTAGCTGTGTTGGCCAACACATGGGCTACTCTCGCGGTGGATACCCTGCAGTTGCAACAAGTTAATTTTGAGCATCCTGCAATTTCGCAGTGATAACCCATGAATTCAATGAACCTACTATATAGTACCAAGCAAAGGTGCTTGGTATGTCAAGAGAAATACTCACTCTATCCCACTCTTTACCATCTTTCCTATTTCCATCTATTTCCTATGTCTTGCTTCAACACCTACTTGGGAGTGCAGTTGGAGTGACAAAAATGTGTATGTATAACCACGAGAATAACCACCATACCCCCATCAGTTGGGATATGGCCCCCCTATAACCATGGTTATATACCCTTTGGCTAATAAACATAGCTGTGGAAAATGGTCCATTTACAGTAAAGATGATTTATGATCATTCACCTATTGATTTTCCATCTCTATGTTAAATCATCAGAGGGTTACCACTTACTTCACTGGAACTGCACTCCGAAGGAAGCGATTTCATCCACTGTGTTGATGCCCCAGATGCGGAAGAGTGTGAGAGACAACGTTCACGAAGCCAGAAAGGGTCCAACTGGAACTTCTGTCCATCCTTGCCGTGCCGAAGTTCAAACAAGGAGGTTCTTAAAATGGATCCCCCAACACCATAGGTTTAAATCCATGTCAAATGCTAAGTTATGGTCGATTTTTTTGGATGATTTGGGGGTATCCCCATGACTTAGGAAACCTCCATATCCATATATACATAGGTATCAGGCAAAAATTGAATGAGGATGAACTTGTTGTGGATGACTGCTGGTTGCAATCGGACTTTCAAAAAGGGGATGTTCTGTATGTATTCTGCTACTGCCTGCTACTGCTATTTCTTCCTAATCTTTGGAAACATCCCATCAGTGATTAGTGGGGGATATATCCAGCATATTTTCAGGAAAATGGCTTTAGAAGTTTTGCTGTAGTTGGATCATCTCAGAAGGTCTTCATCTATCTATCGGGGTACTGGTACAATCCATTTTCAAACGCATCCAAACATCAGATTATAAGTTGGTCATATATATCCCACTAGATCCCCCCAGAAAAATCTATTTCTGTCGCCATAAAATCACCATAAAATCACCATATGCTACTTGGAGATCCCATGGTTTTGCGCCGTCCCACGGGACTCTTGCCATGTCTCAGGCAAGCTTAACTCCAACGCAGTGGCCGTGTTCACTTCAACCTAGGGATTGCTGACTCTGGTTGATGTGTGGAATATGAATATATACCTAAAGCATACCTAAAGCCTCCAGTTGTACATTTTGTATTTTCCCCATCATTTTAGTACATTCACCCATCTGTATGGATGGTCGAACTATACATATTTACTATTATTTAGGAGGTATTCATATCCTCGGTTACCAGCTCATATGTCATAAACCATCCGCTCTCGATATGCATATATATATATACATAAGTATGATATATATATATACATAATATGTATATATATATATACACCTATGATCATGTGTATATATAAGGTTTGTCAGGTTTCGAAAGCAGTGGCATGTTCAAGTAGCCGTATCTGTACAAACATCAACAAAGAAATGGACAGGTCGACTAGAAGCACATCATGCAAATTCAAAACTCTGGGATGGGAAATCCCCATTTCTTTGATGCAACAATCCATCTGGAGTAAGCCCCCACAAAATAGAAACATGTTTATCCAGGTATCTTAGTCTGGGTGGGGTTTTACCTTTCTATCCGTTTTAGGTTTGATGTGATATTATAAAGAAACTTAATACTTAGGGCATGTTCCAGTGCCAGCTTAGACTCTCCGTTTGAAGACTTGGAGACCCTGTCCTAGCAGGTATTACAGATCTATCTGATCTATAGTCTCTAGTATATAATTATTATAACCCCATGATATATATATATATATGTATATAGCAAAGGCCCAATGTTTAACTTCATTTTAGGATTTAGGATTAGATGTTACTAACCTGCTATTTTTGGGGGCTTCTATAATCTGATCCAATCTAATCCAACCTAATCTCTCTATGTTATATGGGGTTTATGTAATGTGTATGATCTCTTCAAAAAACAACATCATATGCGTATGAGTTGTGTTTTGGCCATTCGTTGTAGTTTTAGTGGATGGCGCGGTTCTTAATGCTGACAGAGTCACCACTGGAAATGCTGCCAGCCTTGCTGGGAGTAGCAATACCCACATGGGTAGTCAACCCATGTGTTTGTTTAGTGTTATTTTTTGCCCATCAGCCCATATTATCCCATTATCTCAAATACTAATCGCAGCAGCTGAATGATGTCATCACTTTATGATCTGCTTCGTGGTTGATAGTCTCAACCCTGTCTGAACTTTTTTGAAACCACCTGCCCTATAACTGCGTTAGAAGCCACGTTACTATAGTGTTTTTTACTGGAGTGAACCACCAACGGAGCTAAAACTCAACAGGTATTGAGAAGAGTTTGAACCAGCGAGTCTTTTCAAACGACTATAATAATTCATTACAATTCAAATTAGAGTAATCCAAAATACACGTCATGTGCGTCGTTCATCTGGATAGATCCCAATCATTCACCAGACTTCGGCCATTTGCAGATGATGCCTGTGGTAACTGGTGAAGCCAATGCCATAAACTATCTGGGGATGGTTGGAATCCCATTCAGTTATGGTTCTTCCGGGAAAGGTTTATATTGGTTTACCATATTTAACCATAATCCAAATGGCGACGTGATCATCGGGTGCCTCAAAGGAAGAAAGAAGGTCAGAAGTTGGTACAGCATTCCTGCAGCTGGCACGCAAAGATCGGGATATCAACAACTATATCTAGGTGAATTCTATCGTTTATGCTACAGATTATAGTCTGTACATATATATATATATATATACATGATATCCCGTATATCTATATCTATCAACATATTTATGGTACAGATTCATAGTTTTTTTTCCTCCAGCACCTTCGCGCCACCCGAACCTAGACCCACCAAGTCGCCACCAAAACCATTAAACTGCACAAAAGGATACAACAGTACCAAGATCTAATATACTCAGATGATAGGGAAAAATATAAATTTGATTAAATTTGATGGATACTTGGAGGGTCCAGGTAGTTAGGATAAAAATATCGGGATAGGAATAATGATTGAAAAAATCACAACTGCCCGAAAACACTGATAGTTTTGCTAATGAACTTCTGTTCATCACTCACGAAGAATAACCGCAAATTGCCAATTCAATCCTCAATCCGGCACCATCATGTTTGTTCTTGCCCCTTGCCAACTACTCATCATCGGTTCCCCTCATAATTTAAAATCATGACGACATGGTTTCAACCAAAATGCTGGCAAACGCTTCAAAGTGTTTGAGAAATTTTGTGCATTGATACTCGTTGATAGCGATGCGATACTGTAATAACTACTATAATATAGTAGGATTGAAAACATGTGGATTTCATGTTCTTCTATGCAAATCGTCTGCTGAATAGACATAGTTGACCTCGTAGGGTCAGTCCACACCCTCAAGTGGAAGGCTTGCAAGGTAGAACTCCCAGAATTCATCAAAACCCCGCCACAGAATGCCGTAGTCACGATCCTCTCAAATATTCATTATGAGTAATCATAAATCATTCACCTCATGGTGTATCCACTGTATAGATTTCTAAACCCACTACCTTACACCGCATCCAGCCCCAATGCACCGTAAGGGCGGGTGGAATCGTAGAGACTGGCACTTCTGGCTCGACTTGTGCCAAAAATGGTCAACTGCGGCCCCAAAATTTTGCATCTGGAAGGGCTGGACTCGTTGAACTCGTGTTCACAATTTTTTCCAGTAATTTGGAGTTGTCCAAAGATTGGGTAAACAATATATTGCAATTTTCATGGAGAAAAAATCAAAAAGATTCAAAAAGTACAGTGCACAGTGGGTATTCGACAAACCATGACAGAGCAATGTGCTAAATCATGAGTCCTGGAAATAGACTAACTATACCTAGCAACAATAGTAGAAATAGCAGCAGTAATCATAGAAATAATCATAAGAGCAATAAGTTTAGAAGTCAATCTTCCGACAACATGGACAGATGAAAAGCAGAGATGGGAAGAGTAAGAGAAGAGAAGGGAGGAAGAAAGAGGATCAAAGAAGAGACAGTCAGAAGAAAGGAGATCCAGGTGCGCGAAAATGTAGGAAAACCGCGAAACACTGTGTTTTTTCCAATGATTTGTGGCTCCGGGGGGTCGAAAAATAGGCTCGCTAAAAC